TTGCCACAGAGACCTTAAGGCTCCCGGGCCTCAGCTCCTTATTGTTTGGCTCTCTAAAGTAATGTTTATCGGCAGAAATGGGCACACCAGAACTCTGGCAGAGAACATCTGTGTTCCCCCGACAGGAAGATGAGGGCAGATGCTCTGTGCTCCAGGCTCTCAGCCCAGTGCTGCTTCTGTTCAAGGACAGCCTTGCTTTACTTTGGGAACACCAGATTAGGACCAGGTGCAAGGAGTCAGAGTGGAGGAAATGAGCCTTGGGAGAGGCTCCTAAGAAGGCATAATTAGGGAGGGCGTTCCAGGATGGGTAAGAATGAAACCTGTGGAGGAAACAATGGGTAGGCTTGTTTTTCTGGGGTTGGGGATAAGGACTGGAGTTTGGCCTTCGCATCTGGATAAGTACAGTTCAGACAGAGCAAAAGCCAATCTGGGAGGTAGTAGAGATTTATTTGTTTATTATTATTTTTTTGTATGTCCCCACACTTGTATATGTTTCGATGTGTATATTTATTTATGTTTACCTGTAGGGAGAAATTAAATTAGGTCTTCTGCTAGGAAGACCTAACTCTAATAAATTAGCACTAGTTAAATCTGAGGGGTAGGGTGAGGGGACAGAGGATTTTCAGTGTTATTCTACATACACCTGTGATGTGTGGATATTTATGATGAATGTATATTTATTTGTAAATAAAGTCTGCTACTTATAAAAATATTTTAGGACTTGGCAAAAATTTTTAAATGCTTAAGTAAGGTAATTCTAATGGCTATAAAGAGCCCTTTAAGATTACATGACCACAAGATGAACTGGGAAGAATAATTATTCTTTGGACTGAAACCTGACTATGGTTTGAATGTGTTCCCCAAAATGTGTTGGAAACAATCCCCAGTGCAGCACTGTTAAGGCTCTGGGCCTTTAAAAGAATTAGGTCACTAGGGTTCTGCCTCTTGAGTACATTAATGCCATTATTGCAGGCATGGGTTATCATGAGAGGGTTCCAAACAAATTGAGGGGTTCAGCTTCCTTCCCTCTTGAGTGCCCTCTGTTGCCCTTTGCTTTCCACCGTGTGGAATGATGCAGCAGGAAGGTCGTCATCAAATGCAGCCCCTGGATCTTGAACTTCCAAGCCTTCAAAACTATGAGCCAAATAAATTTGTTTCTTTAAAGTTACCTAGTTTCAAATATTCTCTTACAATAACAGAAAACAGACTAAGAAATATGTGTAATAAGAATTGTAATGCACTCCGCTGTCATATATAAATAAAAAAAGGAAAAAGAAAGACCCTCCTGGTACATAAACCAAGCTCTAACAAGACTGGGTATGTGCTATGACACTCAAGCCCATAGTTCTTCATCTTATTTAATCTGACAGCTTTTTCTCTTTTAACCTCAGAATGGTAATTGAGAATGTGGGTACTGCAGTTCTTGCCACTGGGCTTTCCTTTATTTTTTAAATACCTTTATTTTATTTATCCATTTTTATGTGGTGCTGAGGATGGAACCTAATGCCTCACACATGCTAGGCAAGCGCTCTACCACTAAGCCACAACCCCAGCCTTGGGCTTTCCTTTTATATGGTGAAGGACATCTGAGCACATGGTTCTTTTGATGTGTGTTCTGTAAAATACACATAATATAAAATTTCCATTTTTAACCCTGTTTAGTGATGCAGAGTATATCACGTTATGTGTAGCTATCACTGCCATCCATCTCCGGAAGTCAGTTCACATGTTAAGTAAATGCACATTTTGGCTATGGTACTCAAATGTTGGTGGATTTTATTTCAATGTTAGACATGATACTTCCTTCCCCATGAGAATATTATTGGATGTAAAATCAGGGTTCTTGTATCATAGTGAATCCAGCTTTAAGTTTGGAAATTAGATGCTTCATTTAAAAAGGAAGTATGTGCACTGTACAAACTTTGTTTGCCCAGTATACCTTAATCTTAGTGTTAGCATGTGCTGCTATGAGAGTCCTAAGGGATCTTAAGGTATATCCACACTGTTTGTCAATAAAATCCAAACTTCCCGCCACACTGGTGATTTCAAGACTGAAAGACCAATTGCTTGGATGCCAACTAGAATCTTCATGGGTCACTGAGATGAGCATGTCCCAGCCCTGTCTGCCCAGATCCACCATGGAGAGTCTGTTTCTGGAGCCAGAATGCTCTTGTTTGAAACCTGATTTGGCCACTACCTGTGTGATATTAGAGAAGTTCTTAGTGTTTCAGTGCTCCATCCATTATAGCATCTCCCACATCAAACAATTGTTAGGATTCATTGGGCTGATATAAAACAGTGTCCAGAACATAGTGAGCACCTTGTCAGTACTTTGGGGTCCACTGACTTAGGGCTTGCTATAGGCAGAATGGCTTTGTGAGAAGTAAACCGAAGAGTTTATTCAAGCCCAAATTTCCTGGACCCAAAAATACTTCAGATATTTTATTCTGTTCAGATCTTTGGAACCTTAGTAAAGAGGTTCCAGACAGTTGGAAGACATTATGTCTTTACATTTAATTGTAACTTGCCTTGTAGTTTACTAAGTACTTGTTATATACACATGTATGATCTCTCATCGACATGCTAAACCTCTGAGATAATTAGAGATAATGAACTTCATTACACAGGTAGGGGAATTTCTATTCAGTGTGGTTTTAAGTAATCTGCCCCAGATGAGGTCCCATGTGGCATGAAGTTTATTGACCAGATCATTAGTTCTTTGGATCAGAACCTAGAGCTGCTGATCGCATGCCTCCTGATCACTCCATGCCTTCCCCTTCCCTCTTCCACCAGATGGGTAAAAACAGCACTTTGCTTCAAAATAAATGACATAAAAGATGATCTTGGTAAAAAGGAAGCTAAACAGCATTGGGTCATCTTGATTTGCCTTTGTAGCACTAAGTGCTGAGGAAGGGAAACTTAGGCTCCAGACCCCCATTCTGTTTGCCATGCTGGGACTGGATTTGTTGACTAGGTTCCTGTTTTTTACTAAAATTTGTGGGAGGTCATAGATTTGGACTGGGCACCTATACTAGGCCCAGTAAACCAAAGCAATCTAGAGTTTAATTGCAGTTCTGGTTGGTTATAGGCGGTCCTCAAACCAGTTAACTAATTAAGCAGTAACCATTTGACTGGTTGGTAAAGCAGTAGCAGATTGTTTCACTTGGGTTTTTCCATAAATGTGTCTGATCACATTGTTTGTTGGTGTTCCCAGAACCTGCTCCTGTTCTGGGAGCTGCCAAGATGTGTTGAATTGGTTTGGTTTTGTCCTCTGCCCAAATAAACTCTCCTAGATTCAATTGGTCTAAGGAATTTTCCTTTTAACCCTGTCACTTCTGCTCCTGTGGTTGACCAATTGAATGGCCCTGACCTGAGACCTGTTTGGCCAGCCACTCAGTTGAGAATTCCCTGAGGTCTTGGGAGGGATCCCTTGTATTTAAATTGTATGTAATTATCAACAGTTCATTCCATCTTTGTCATCAGCTTTCGCTTTTTCAAGCTTTGGTTAGATAGGCAGTGATCTTTTATTGGAAACCTAGAATTGCAACACTTTCTTTAGATTCTCTAGGTTTTTGAGGATAACAATTGGGGAACTTTTATATAAAAATGTCTGTGGAATTATGCAACTTCGTGACAAAGGATTGGTACAGGAGCTTCGTTGAAGGCTCACCACTTCCTCATTTGTATAATTTCCGTCCCTGTGGCCCAACATATGACTTTTAATGAGTCAAGCAGAGGGATAAGTGGTAAGTGGTAATTTTTATTTTAGAATATCTGAAGGTTGAATTGAGTGGACAGCTCAATTATATTGACTCCTTGGATTCCCCCAAACATGCACACCCCTACCTCCTGCTTGTTTGTTTTTTGTTTTTGGTTTTCTTTTTTCCCCTCTGATGTTTCAGGGACTGTTCTGGGATTCTGTCTTGACACTGGGGACCAGCAGACTCACTTAGCTTGTTGCATGTGGGTAGGTCATGTGCCGCTGTCACTGGAGGGAACTGGTGCTGTTGCTTCTATTGAGATCTTTTTAAATGAGTTTCTCCCAGGCATTTTCGGGACTGTAGTTTTGCTTCTTGGTCTCATTTTTCACTAAGGGACAGACAGTTACAAGCCAGTGGCTCTGGCTCGCTGGGCCCTCTGTGACTGTCTGAGTTCATTATAATACCAAGAGTCAGGTTGCTTTGGGCAGTGTCCTTGGAACAGGGTGCTGATTCATTCTAAACCCTCCCCACTTATGAATTTTCTGACAGCCTTGTGACTCTCACATGGGGAATATGAGTGACTCTTGAGAAATCTTTTTGCAAGAGATTTAAAAAAAATTTTTTTTTAAGAGTGCTTAGGTGATTTTCCTTGGAGTTAGCAGGTGCATTCCTTGCTTTCTACTTAAATCTGAAGGATATAATTTTTCATTCTTGCTCCTCCTCTTGCTCATTGATGTTTATGGTTTTGTTCTTCAGATTATTTATGGAGTACTTATTAATTAACCTAAATATATGTGGGAAATATCCTTCATTCTTAGTAGTTCCTTGTGCAGATGTGGTCCCAGGTGCTAACTTATCCTGTGATTCTTAGTGATTTTTATAGAGAACTATAACTTCTCTTAAATAAGCAGAAAGTTGAAATCATATAAATAATTTCCATGACCTACTTTATTGACTTGACAAATCTATTTGAGGCATTTGGTCTATTTATTTTTTATTTTTTTGTAGTTGTAAATGGACAGAATGCCTTTATTTGTGTATGGTGCTAAGGATCGAACCCAGTGCCTTGCACATGCTAGGCAAGCGAGCACTCTGCCACTGGTCTACAACCTCAGCCCCCCATTTGGTCTATTTCTATTACTGTTTCTCAAAATGTTTAATAAGTGCCCCTTGCTGTCACTTCCTTTTGCAGGTAGTATCGAAAGGTTCTGTAATAGTGTTTGAATGAGCACTTTTTATTGTTGAAATATGTTTTCCATTAGACCTCATTTACACCTAGTCTTGTGTTAATTTCTATAGGTGTTTTTACAGTCCTGTGTTTGGTATGGAGAGTGTGGAATTGCATCTGGAGATAAGAGATACAATTGCAGATATTCTGGGCCACCAAAACCACTGCCAAAAGATGGGTATGACTTAGTGCAGGTAAGTTCCTTGTTAGCCGTACAAAGTGCTGATCACAAGATCCTCTGTAATTAAACCTTGCGGCACAGTGTGGGTAGAGGTGAAATTAATAGGCCTAAATCTTATCCCAGATTCTAACCTGTAATGCACAGTGTAGAGAAGATAAGCTAACTACAGAGGTTTAATTTTTCAGGCACCGACTCTCTACCTCTCATAGTTTCCCAATAGCAGGTTACTATTTAGAGACTGACCTTAGTCCTCAAATGTTACTCTTTGAAACTTCTGCAAAATATATTAGAACTTGACTTTTTGGTTCCTAGATCCCAGGACTTGAACAGACTGCCACTAAGAAGCTCTGACTTCCTCTTTCCCTGTGTATTTTAGTGATTTCTCTGTATTCCCCTGAGCATGTGAATTTTGGCTGTCGCCAGGTTCTGCTTTGTTATCATTTTTACCATCCTGCATGCACAAGGGTATTGGAAAATCGGGGTGGAAAGACTGATTTTAGAGTCTTACGTAATAAAAAGTCAAATTGACATGGTAGGAGATCTCTGCTTACTTATTCCTTTCATCAGAATTAGTAAAAGTTTTGACTTTCCCTGGAGTGACTAATGGAAATCATAAATAGCACTCTGGTTGAACTTAAATAAAAAAAGGTAGGAAGAGGTAAAATGACTGTCGCAGGGGAGAGAGAGCTTGCAAATAAAAACTAAATTAGAAATGTCTCTACCGCCTCTATCTGTGAGTCCCTAGTTTATGAATAGTATATTTGATGGCCTTTCAAGAGAATTCTGCAAGAATTTCGCAAATGCTTGCCTTATCCTCAGGCACTGAAAAGGTTTACGTGAGCAGAGCTGTTTTCTCTCTAGAGGAATGGCATCCTTACCCTAACTGCTATTCTCCTATCTGTACTCTGTCTTCTGAAAGGAACTCTGTCCTGGATTCTTCTTCGACAATGTCAGTCTCTGTTGTGATGTTCAGCAGCTTCGGACTCTGAAAGACAACCTGCAGCTGCCTCTGCAGTTTCTGTCCAGGTAGGTTGACCACCAGGCAAACAGAGCCAGGGGGTTTTAGCTACTTGTTAACCAGTAATGTTAGGGTCTGCTTGTAAAGTCAGAGTTTTGCTGTGTTCTGTTTTGATGACTTCTAAGAAATAGAGAAAGTAATAATCATGATAGACTTGGTTCTCTTCCCAGTTACATCCACAGTCGTGACTTGGTTTCCTCTGAGATGCCCTGGCTCTGCATAGTAGGCTAGTTCTTTCAGATTCGAGTTTCTGTGCACCCTGGAAAAGAGAGGTTCCCGGTAGTCCTGCTCAGGTCCCTCATCTATGCAGTCTTCTAATCATTTCCCTCTCCTCACCTCCCGTGCTTTGCATATCATTTTGCCTTTTTTCTGTGGTGGAATGATATGCTGCAGGTCCTCACTAGGCTGGCCTTGGGTCACTGTTCAGTTTGTTCTGGCATAGTTGGCCAGTTTTGTCAAAGTTCGTTTTCTGTTCCATCTGTTCTTCATGACCCAGGCCAGTGAAAAAGGATTACATAATAGGTGTTCTTCTCTATAGGCCTATCTAGCAATTTTCAGATGGGCAGAAGAACAAGCAAGATTGTGTTATCTTTGTCAGTTTTTCAGACCTTAGCACACTGAGATAGATGGATGGGGAGCAAATATAAAGAGGGGGAAATGCGGGGCTGGGGATGTGGCTCAAGAGGTAGTGTGCTCGCCTGGCATGCATGCGGCCCGGGTTCGATCCTCAGCACCACATACAAAGATGTTGTGTCCGCTGAAAACTAAAAATAAATATTTAAAAAAAAAAAAAAAAAGAGGGGGAAATGCTCTCTGCAGTTATCACTGCAAGTGGCAGGGCATAAGCCAGCTTCCACCATGGAACCCTGCTTCTTATCAGAAGTTACAGTACAGAATGGAAAACCATCATTCAGTTTTTCTCCCAGGACATCGTATAATACAATATCAAAAGCTGGGAATCTGTTTGGGCCACAATATCTTACGGAAGGCTGCTGGACATTGATGGAGCTAGATTGGACCCTTCGTCATTCAGTCAAAACATTTATTTACCACCCATTCATGAACATCAACAGATAGCTAAGATTTTCTCCAGAGGTACCAAAGCTTTGTTAATGACAACAAATAAGAGAAATAACCTGACATATGGAATCTTATGCAGCTGTTGAAATTCATGATCAAATGAAATAACAGGGCAAGAGATTTGTAGAAAACTGTACACCCCAGTAGTGATTCTTATCAGGGTAGTGTGATTAAAGTTTCTGGTTTTGGAAAGCAAAGGTTTCCTGAAAAAGAATCTGTGTGCCTATCTGCTTCACTGGAGCAGAAGCTTTTGAAGGCTGGGTAAGTTACACCTTCCTCATTCTGTGTCATGTGTGATCACTAGCCCTGGATCAGTCTAGAAAATAATCTCAGTTGTGTTGTGAGAATGCACCAAAGGGAGAGAGCCCTTGTGCCACATAACAAGTCAGCTTTAGGGGCTTAAGCTTTGAACCTGAAGGGCATCAGTCAGCTGTCCCTTGTGCTTCTGTAATGTATGCAGCCAGAGAACACCATGGCTGTCCCTTTTGTTTTCACAAGTCACGAGGGGACCCTGCTGTGTTTGGGGAAGGCCTGGGATTACCCAAGGCTTGGAAGAAAGCCTTTCAGTAAGTTATAGGGTGAAAATTCTAATGTGAAAACTCATTTTTTTCCTTTTGTTCTTGATCAGAATTGTCACAGCTCTAGGACAAAGAAAGATGTCTCTAAATTACAAAAGCACAGAATTCAAAAAAGCGTCTTTCTCTTTTTGAAATTACATTTGAGCAAAGTAAATATAGCAATTACAGCAGTTTGGGAGGGGATAGTTTTAAAAATTACTTATTTTAACATGAGGTTTTAAGTGAAGAATTTTTGGTTTTAATATGTTCATTTGTCCCTTTGCAGTAAATTTTAAAAATTCCTTATTATTTTTAAATTATATTTTTCCTGGCCCTATCTGTGAGATCATGCAAAATATAATTTATTTTTTCTCTAGATGCCCATCCTGTTTTTATAACCTAATGAACCTGTTTTGTGAGCTGACATGTAGCCCTCGTCAGAGTCAGTTTCTGAATGTTACAGAAACTGAAGACTATGTTGATCCTATTACAAACCAGACAAAAACGAATGTCAAAGAATTACAATACTATGTCGGACAGAGTTTTGCCAATGGTAAGTAAAATTAATTATTCCCCTTTTAGCTAGCATGAGGGCAGAGCATCAAGCTGTTCTTTTTGTTATTCTGTCAACTGTGTGGATCTATTCAGATGTGGAATGATATTCAGCACTAAATAGAAATGAAAAGACATAGATACTACTAAACATTGATCACAATTTCCAGTTCCATTGGCCTTGAAATGAGAGTCATTTCTTGTTTGTATCCTAGGACTTGGGCTACAACCAACAAAACCACCTCTTTAAAGCATTGGCTTTAACCCCTTCCCTAGCCTTAAGCTCCTGTATGGAAAATTTTAGAATATGCAAATTTGTGTACATTTTAATAAGCATTAGAATGTTGATTCTAGCAGATGTGAAATGTTTAATATCATGAATTACTGCAAGACTTAGGAGGAAATAGATGGATAGAAGTAGTTGATGAGGAAAAGAAGTTTTGACTCTGAGGCACAAGGGAAAGTAAACAGTGTTGCAAATAGAAATGGCCCCCCAGCTGCTAGAGATCATAGAACAATCCAAAGAGACCCTCTGTTGGTTGAAAATGAAAGAATTCTGAGAAGAATAAGTAACAGCAGAAAGGGAATGAACAAATTAGAAATAGAATCAAGTGGATCTAATGAGGGAGAAGTGATCATTGGAATGGATTAATAGTAAATAGCAAATTAGACATAGGTAAACAAAAAGTAAGAACAGTCTAAAAAATAATAGAATTAATCAGCAAAGTTATTGACTGTAAGAGTAACTTAGAACAATGATCATGTCTGGATCAATCCAGGAAATGCCAATTAAAATAGTGAACCACCATTCATACTTTATCAGATTGTCACAAATATAAAAAGTTATCATAATGACCAATTAAAAATAAAAGAACAAGTTTAATAGAAAAAAAGATTCTATTTAAAAAAAAAAAACACAAAAAAAAGTATGGTAACTAGGAATCAGACTTCCAAAAGATGTGACATAAAGGCAGCCTGAGTGAAGAGATATCATTCTGTATAGAAATAAAAACATGAATACATGGAAAATTTATATATAACAGGTGCATCATTGCAAATCATTGAGGGAAATGGGGTCTTGTTGATAAATGAGGTGATAAAACTGATTATATTTGTCTCATTTTTGGCATATACTAAAAAAATCTACTGTATAAATTAAAAATCCTAGCCTTGGAAAGTTTTAGAAGCAAATACAGAATATCTTCATGACTTGAAGGTAAAGAAAGATTTCCACACAGAGAAAAGGCAGAAATCAAAATGAGAATGTTTATGAATATAAACAATTCATGTCTGGATCTATCCATGAGATGCCGATTAAAATAGTGAAACACCATTCATACATTATTAGATTGTCACAAATTAAAAATTTAATGATAATGATGTGGAGCTATAGAAGTGTTAATAAATTGCACCTCTCATAACCAAAAGCTGGTGCAAATGTTTGAAAACAATTTTGCATTACCTAGTGAAGTTGAAGATGGATAAGCACACCCATACTGCAGAAATTCCACTTACAGAGGCCCACCTAACAGAAATTCTTAATACATATGAACAGGAAGGCCCATATAGTTATGAACATCCACTATAGCATTATTGATCATGAAAATTGGAGACATCCAGAGAATGAGAAGAAGACAAATCACAGACTGGGAACAAATATTTGCAAGAGGCATATTTGATTAAGAGCTATTAGAGTATACAGAAAACTCTTAAAACTCAACAATGAGGAAACAAAGAAGTTGATTGAAAAATGGGCAAAAACCCAAACAGATAACTCATCCAAGAAAAATTATAGATGGTAAAAAGTATATGAAAAAATGCTGAACATCCTATGTCATTAGGGAATTGCAAATTGAAACAACAGTGAGATACCACTAAACATGTACTGTAGTAGCCAAAATCCAGAACACTAATGCCACTAAATGCTGATGAATGAGATGGGGAGCAACAGGAACTTTAATTCATTGTTGGTGGGAATTCAAAATGGTACATCCTCTTTGGAAGACACCTTGGCAGTCTCTTATAAAACTAACCTATACCTGTCATATGAGCCAGCTATCGTCCTCCTTGGTGTTTAACCAGATGAGTTGAAAACACATCTATGTAAAAAACCCTGCACACAGATATATGGACCACATATTCATAATTGCCAAAACTTGAAAAAAGCAACTAGGCTGTTCTTCAGTAGGTGAATAAGTGTATAAACTGATCCATTCAGATGTGGAATGATATTCAGCACTAAATAGAAATGAAAAGACGTAGAAGAACCTTTAAATCATATTACTAAGTGAAAAAATCTAATCTAAAAAGCAACATAGCATATGATTCCAACTCTGGCGTTATGAAAAGGCAAAACTTTGAAGACAGTAAAAAATCATTCATTGCTAGTGGTTAGCAGTGAGGAATGAGTACACAGACTACAGAGGATATTGAAGAAGTGAAATTATGTGTGATACTATAATGCTGGATACATGTCATTATACATTTGTCATATCCCACGGAATGTACACCAAGAGTGAACCCATTGTAAACTATAAGGTTTGGATGATAATAATGTATCAATATAGAGGTTCATCATTTGTCAAAATAAATAAATAATATACTACTCTAAGTCAGAATGTTGATAATGAAGGAGGTTATTAATAATAATAACATGTGGGGATAAAATATGTGGAAATTTTGAAATTTCCACTTAATTTTACTCTCACCCCAAAACTGCTCTAAAATATGAACTCTATTAATTCTTTTTTTTAAATGGAGACACTATATGCTCGATAATAGAGAATGGATAAATACATTGAATATAGTCATGGTCATAGAAAACTTAAAACTAAAAAAGTATGGATTAGAATCATATTTGTTACATGGGTGACTTAAACACGATAACTAAAAGGCTATAGAGTATGTGTAGTATGTTTATACGACTTTAAAACAGAAGTACTGTATAGATACAGTATCTCATAGGTACACAGACGTGCATAGGAATATGCATCAAATTCAGATTTGGGATCATCTTAGGGAAGAGGAGATGCTGGTGAGAAGCAGTAATCAGTGGGTTTCAATAAAATCTATGGTGTTTTTCATTTGTTTTTGTTTTTGTTCTGTGACAGTGTTGGAAAGTTAACCTAGGGCCTCACACATGCTAGTGGCTCTACCAGTGAGCCACATCCACAATGTGGTACATTATTTTTGTTTTATTTTGGTGCATTGTTTTTGAAATGCCAATACAAGTATTGTAAGATTGATAAAGCTGGGTGGTGAGTAAATGAGAATTGTGTTATTCTCCATATGCTTCTCTAGGCTCTAAATATCTAATAAAACCCTAAAATCACTAGAAGATATGAGAGAATTATCCAGAAAACATCATACAGATATAAAGATCTGGACATCATTAAAGACATGACATGTAGGATAAGAACTGGGTGGGGAGGGGGAGAGTTGGGGAGACATAAACAGAGGGATAATGGCTAAAGATTTTCCAGAATGAATGAGTAATAAGTCCTCAGTCTTAGGTAAATAAAATCCTTAAGCAGGATAAACTAAAAAGAAACCCAATATGAAATCTGAAAATGAAATTAAGAAAACAATTTCATTTATAGTAGCATGAGAAAATTGGGATAAATTTAACCAAAAAGTACAAAACTTAAACTATAACACTTTATACAAATAAATTAAGGAGGATCTAAATAACTAGAACAATATCACATGTTCGTGGATCAAAAATATTGTTAAAATGACAGATTTTCCCCAATTGATCCCCAAATTCAACTCAATTCCCAGGAGAATCCCAACTGACTTCATTGTAGGAATTGACAGGGTAATTCTAAAATCAACTTGGAATTCCAGCAGACCTAGAAGAGCTAAAAGAATCCTGAAAAAAAAAAAAAAACAAAATACAAGGACTCACATCCCAATTTCAAACTTAACTACTAAGCATTGGAAATCAAGGTGATATGGTCCTTTAATAAAAACAGACATGTGGACCAATGAATATAATTGAAGATAAGCTGTATATCTATGATCACTGTTCTTTGACAGAGGTGCTAAGACCATCACTGGGGGGAAATCCTCTTCAGAAATGGTGTGGATTAACAGTATCCACATGCAAAAAAAAAAAAAATGAAATGAAATTGGACCCTTACCTCATTAAATTAAAAAAAATAATTGAAAATGAATCAAAGACTTAAATGTAAGAGCTAAAACTACAGAACTCTTAGGAGAAAAAATAGGGGTAAGTCTTTATGACCATGGATTTGGCAGTGAAGTCTTAGATATAATATTAAAAGTATGGGCAACAAAAGAAGAAATAGATAAATTAGACCTCATTAAAATAAAAAAAAAAAGAAATGTTTGTGCTTCAAAGGATATCATGAAGAAAATATTTGCAAATAATGCATTTTTAAGGGACTTATATCTAGAATATATACAAATCTGTTATAACCTAATAGTAAATAGACAGCCAAGGAAGATATGCAAATAGTTAATAAACACATGAAAAGGTGTTCAACATTATATTCATGGAAATACAAATCAAAACTGCACACTCACCAAGATGGCTAATGTCAAAAAATCAGATACCAGGTATTGGCATGGATGTGGTGAAATCAGAACTTCATTCGTACGTGGGAATATAAAGTGGTATAGCTGCTTTGGAAAACAGTCTGGCAGTTCTTGAAACAAATATAGTTACCATATGACCCAGCAGTCCCTCCAAGAAAAGTGAAACTTGTCCACGCAAAAACTTACCAATGTCTGTAGCAACATTACTCATAGTAGCCAAAAGATGTCAACAAAATATGGTACCTCCATGTGATTGAATATTATTTGGCCATTAAAAAAAAGAATGGAGTGTTCAGTAGGCTAAAGCAGGAAGATCACAAGTTCAAAGCTAGCCTCAACAACTTAGCAAGATCCTGCCTCAAAATAAAAAGTGACTCAGTGATTTAGTGTCCGTGGGTTTAATTCCCAGGTGGGGGGAAAGCTACGTAAAAGAAGCTCATCAGAAAACACTAAGCATTATAAATTTTGTTAATATGAAATGTCTAAAATAGGCAAATCTATAGACACATTTAGTGATTGCTTAGGGTTTGGAATGTGAGGAAATAGCAATCATAGTTAAAGGGTACAGGATTTCTTTTTTGAGGAGTTGAAAATGTTCCACAACTGGATGTAGTGGTGGTTGCATATATTGATAAATATGCTAAAATTCATTAAACTGAATATTTTTAGTGGGTGTATGGTATGGTATGTGAATGATATCTCAGAAGTTTTTTTAAGGGCTGGGGCTGTAGCTCAGTGGCAGAGCACTTGCCTACTATGTGTGAGGCACTGGGATTGAGCCTTAGCACACATTAAAAAAAAATTAAAATAATTTTAAAAATTTGTTTTTAAAGCAAAAGAAAACCCATACCTTAAGTATGACTTAGAAAAATGAATGCATTTCAAAGACAGAGATGTTAAAAGCAAACAGAGAAAAGACCCAAAGCTCTTCAGAAGAATGATAATTGAACATTTTCTCACCAGCCATAATATGAGGCCAGAAAGGACTGATACATTCAGTTTTGAAAAAGACAACTGTCACTCTAGCTAACCTTTCTTTCAAAAGTGAGGGTAAGGGGCTGGAGTTGTGGCTCCATGTTACAGCGCTTGCCTAGCATGTGTGAGACACTAGGTTCGACTCTCAGCACCACATAGAAATAAATAAAGTAAAGGTCCATTGACAACTAAATATTTAAAAAATAAATAAATAAGAGGATAAAACCAAATGAATATGTAGAGATCCCTTTGGAGGTTAAGAGAAGAAGATCTAAGAAGATTCTAGCAAGCAGGGACTGGTGAAATGAAAATTAGCAGTACAGGACACTCCGCCTGCCTCCCTGTGTGTGATAGCATTGATATTAGGTACTGTGTTATCTTTGTGTACTAAAATAAAACTAAAAAACAGAATGGTATTAGTTTAATTCATGTGTGACCTCATTCCTAAAGCCAGTTTTCCCTGTAATTTCCGTGATTCAGCTGTGTAGTCTCCTGCTGCAAGAGGCTGCCAGGTTTTCTGGAACCAGCTTCACTGACTGAAGAGGTACTAAGATTCTTAGCTTTAGTCTACTCCTCTGGACAGTGGAGAGGAGACTTCCCAAAGCTTTTGTAAGAACTACGTGGTATGCCATAAGCCTTTCCCTTTCCTGTTTTTTACTTTTAAGTTACTTGGAGTCAAGCTGGAATAAGCCATTTCAGAGGGAAGTCACCTCTCCCATCCACAGTGTGCAGTCATCCCACATTCCAGTCTGCTTGCTAACACGGTTGCAATCCACCTGGAGTCCTTTGTTCCCATTTCAGAGGCCTTTTGCAAGCTCTTATCTGGAGACTAGAGCAAGTGTCATGTCACTTTTTCCCTTGGGATTCCTTTTCTAGCAATGTACAATGCCTGCCGGGATGTGGAAGCCCCCTCAAGTAATGACAAAGCCCTGGGACTCCTCTGTGGGAGGGATGCTGATGCCTGCAATGCCACCAACTGGATCGAGTACATGTTCGATAAGAATAATGGACAGGCGCCATTTACCATCACTCCCATTTTTTCAGGTAGGGATGACTACTCCCAAAGTTGCTATATTTATAATAATGTTATAATGCCAAGGAATCAGTCTGCAGTAGGAGGATAAATTCCGGTAACTAATACCTAGAGTTTCTCTCGAGTAAGAGAGGTTACTAGGGCATTTATCCAGTAGGAATGGAAACGGAAAAGGAATTGCCTGTAGGGATCGCTGTGTACTTGAGGGAATAAACTGAGGTTTTGTTTGTTTAAGAAAGGCCAAGGAGTGTCACAACAGACTTTTCAGAGCTCTGCTGAAATCTTAGTCTAGCTATTCAGAGTGGGAGTAAGACAGGACTGAAAGTCAGCACTTGTAATTTTATAAGGCAAAGCAACAAATTTTATAAGGCAAAGCAATAAAACATAAAGGGATTGGAGATTAAATTAAAACCTCCAGTCCTTATTCTTCCAGTTGTGTTATGCTGTGTTTCAGCATGCTTATTATTGGGTTTCGAGATAGTTCAGTACACAATTTTTAATGTTTTTTCATTGAGATTGTCACTCAACACAATTCCTTCCCATAGATCTTCCAGTCCAGGGGATGGAGCCCATGAACAATGCCACCAAAGGCTGTAATGAGTCTGTAGATGAGGTCACTGGGCCATGCAGCTGCCAGGACTGCTCCATCGTTTGTGGCCCCAAGCCCCAGCCCCCAGCACCTCCTATTCCCTGGAGGATCTTTGGTTTGGATGCCATGTATGTCATCATGTGGATCACCTACATGGCATTTTTGTTTGTGTTTTTTGGAGCATTTTTTGCATTGTGGTGCTACAGGTAAGCAGCTGTGTGTGTGTGTGTGTGTATGTGTGTGAGATAGATAGATAGATAGATAGAGAGAGAGAGAGAGAGAGAGAGAGAGAGAGAGAGAGAGAGAACGAACTAGGGCCAGAAGATCAAAATTACTCAAGTGGCACTTGTAGCTTTCACATGGCAGGTTTATTAGAACAGGAAGCAAATACCTGCGTGAATGCCACTCCATGGATTGCTTATGATCTGCAGCTAGTAAATAGTCAAGTGTCATTGAGACATTTAAACATTTGAAGTTAATTTTATTGATTTATTCAGAACAGTGTGTGAGTTAAAGCTCAATGTATTAACCCATCTTTAGAAATTCTAGTCAGAGTCATGGGCTGGGGTTGTAGCTCAATGGTTGAGTGATTGCCTCGCATGTGTGAGGCACTGAGTTTAATCCTCAGCACCACATAAAATAAATAAATAAAATAAAGATATTGTGTCCATCTATAACCAAAAACAATTAAAAAAGGAAAGAAAGTCAGAGTCAAATGAGCCAAATGGTCCAAATCTAATTGAATGCACTGCCATCTACATTTAGTATAGTACTTTTTTTTTTCCTTCCTTGGTACTGGGATTGAATCTACCACTGAGCTACACACCCAGTCCTGCCCCCACTTTGGAACTGGGGATCTGAGTTGTTCAGGACCTCATTAAATTGCTAAGGCTGGTTTTGAACTCATGATCCTCCTGCCTCAGCTTCCCAAGTCACTGGAATTATGGCCACCCCCAGCCCTTTTTATTTTTTATGTTGAAACAGGGTCTCAATAAGTTGCCCAGGTTGGTCTTGAACTTGCAATATTCCTTCCTCAGCCTCCTGAGTTGCTGGTATTGTACCACCACGCCTGACAACAGTATATTTTTATGTATTTTAATTTTAAAACCATTTTAGACTTACCAAAAAGTTGCTGGAATAGCAGAATTTATATATACCCTTTTCCCAGCTTACCCTCATGTTACCACTGAGAGAACCCAGTATAATGATCAAAACCATGTAACTGATACCGTATTATTAGCTAAACTACACACTTTACTCGGATTTCATCAGTTTTTCCTCTCATGCCCATTTTCTGTTTCAGAATCTCATAACACATTCACTTTTTATGTTTTATTAGTCTCCTCCAATCTACGTCAGATGGTTCCTCCATCTTTTTCCATTTTTAAGATCTTGACACTTTTGATGAGTACCTGCCTCTTATTTTGCAGCCTGTGCCTCTTGCCTTCATCCAGTGTTTTGTGGTGATTAGATTGAGGTTGTGTGTTTTGGACAAGCACATCACAGATGTGGTGATGTGTCTTTCTCAGGGCATCATGCCAAGGAATCCATGATGTTGATATGTTGTTACTAGGGATATTAACCTTGATCTCATGGTTAAGATGATGTCTCCTGGGTTTCTTCACTGGGGTTACTATTTTCCCTTTATAATTGGAAATTTTCTTGAGAAAAGATATTTTAAAACTATGCATGGGCTGGGGGTGTAGCTCAGTGGTAGAGTATTTGCCTAGCACACATGAGGCACTGGGTTTGATCTTCACCACCACATAAAAACAAATAAATAAAATAAAGGTATTGTGTCCATCTACAACTAAAACAAAAACAAAACTATACTGATACTTTCTCCTCAGACCATCACCTACTGCCCACTAAATCATGGGTTCTGTCTGCAACCATGATTATTGCAGTGTTTGCCTGATGGCAATTGTGGATTTCTCTCACTCCCTACAACTACTAATCGGACTTCTTCCTTCACTTATTATTCATTTAGTTACATTATGGACCTTTTACTTATTCTGTGGACTCTATCTAATTCCATTGTTTTGCTGCTCAGATTTTTTCCACGTTGGGCATGGGGAGGTGCCTTCTGGTTGGCTCTTATGTTCTTTTGACATGTTCCCACCCTTGGGATCATCTGCTATTCTCCCTGCCCTGGCCCAGGATAGTATTTGAAATCAAGGACAGGGCAGCAGGTGTGCTCGTTGCTCCTAGGCAGGATAGCGTGTTTTTAAAGGATCTAAAATGAGGGTTGCAAAGTGAAATTATCCTTTAACAATTCGGATTTTTTTTTTTAATACAGTCTTAAATTTTCTGCTGAAACTGGTAAGCATAGAGACCCAAGGGAACTTAGGATTAGGGAGGAAGAAGTCAGGATGAGGGAGTAAGCTTTTAGTGGGATTTTGGGATATCCAAATAACAATCTTATCATGAAGACCACTAATACTGCTTATGTGCTTTTATTTTTCAGAAAGCGTTATTTTGTCTCCGAATACACTCCCATTGACAGCAATATAGCCTTTTCTGTTAATGCCAGTGACAAAGGTAGGCATATTTGTACAGAAAATAAAGGGTTTGGATTTTGTTGGCCTGAAAGAGCCCTTGTTTCCTCAGCAAATATTGACGTGCCGATTATGGGTGAGGCAGGGCACAAGTGCCAAGGACACAGCTATGGTCAGCACAGACATGTCCCTTGCCTGTGGCTCTGATGTCAGGGTGGCAGATCAGACCCAAGTAATCAATGACAGCAGTGAAATGCTTAGGGACCAGAGTAAAAGCCACAAAGGTGCCTGTGTGGCAGGCCAAGGGCAGGAGCAGCAGAGCAGTCAGAGAAACTTGCTTTTCAGAAGCCCTCGGGTGAGCATCTTTCCACCCAGGAGTGCATCAGTGTCCATTGTGGGTAGCCAAAAAGAATAGCTTCCCCAAGCAGACAGAGAGCACAGGGCCTGGGGTGTCAGTTGTGTCACCCAGGGGGCTGGACTCCCAGCACGTGCAGTGGTAGCTAATGCTGTCCCTGTTCCGACTTTCAGGAATGGCCTGGCTCTTAACCTCCACCCTCCTTTCCTCTCCCGCTCTTCCAGGGGCGGCGTCCTGCTGCGACCGGCTTGGTGCCGCCTTCGAGGGCTGTTTGAGGCGCTTCTTCACCCAGTGGGGATCTTACTGTGTCCGAAACCCTGGCTGCATCATTTTCTTCTCACTGGTCTTCATCGCCGCATGTTCTTCAGGCCTGGCATTTGTGCGGGTCACCACCAATCCAGTTGACCTCTGGTCATCTGCCAGCAGCCAGGCCCGCCAGGATAAAGAGTACTTTGACACACACTTTGGGCCTTTCTTCCGGACAGAGCAGCTCATCATCCGGGCCCCCAATACCAGCAAACACATTTACCAGCCATACCCCGCAGGAGCCGACGTGCCCTTTGGACCCCCACTTGACAAAGAGATTTTGCACCAGGTATTCTGCCATTAGTAGATGTCCATCCATCTGGCTTTTACATGTAGACCAATTCTGTCCAATACAGATTTGGGGCTGACTGTTGTGGTATCTCTTAAATCTTTAAGCATTAAAGTAAAGGTGTTTTCACTTATTTTTCAAGATAGTGGTGCTAGTCATTGAATTTAATAAAAAATTTACTGTTGCCTGCTTTTGGATTGACTTCAAACAGCAGGTCCTGCCTTTTTCTTGAAATTGAGATGAACAGAGGAAGGTCTAAGTAGCATTTCTCTGTTAAAGCAGAATATATTTATGAGGAATTTACCTAGGGAATCCATCGATTTTTTTTTTTTTTTCCTTGTGTTAGAGTAAAATGAAAGGACCCAAAGGAATGAATTTATTTATGCTGTCCTGGGGTCCGGGGCAGGAACTGCTGGATCATTACTAATCCAAGGTCTAGGAATGAAATTATTGTGACCTGAATGTTAGCTGCCATCCGTAGTTAGTGGAAGATACACTTGGGAAGAGATCCATCTGTTTCTCTTACAAAGGCCTTTAGAATTTCCTGTTGTCCTTCATATTTGCTACGGAAATCTGTACCTGTGAATAAACGACATCTACTTCTTTAATAAATGATTATTCATTACAGTCACCCAAATTTTCCTTTAAATATTGTCCTTGTCTACATAAAGTGTGAGATTTTTCAAAGCATTGAAATGTGCCAAAAATTTTAATGGAATTTTTCTTTCTCTACCTAGTGACTGACTGTTCCATTTTCCTAGCTTGTTGCAAAAGATGAACAGCACAGACATTTACTTTCGAGACTATAGTCTATATTGGAAAATATGGGCGTATACATAAATGATTGTAGCACAGAGCCAGGCATGTGTTTTGGTGTGTTTTGGGAAGGGGGAGTGTTGGGAAGACCAGGCATCACACTCTAGTCTACTCTGTGGCTGCTTGTTAGTGGCTGCTGGAGACAGGTGAGGAGAGATGGTTGTGGATGCTGTACTGAAATCAATCTGATCACATATCCCCTCCCCATCTCTGGACAACTCTTACCTCACCAGATACTTTACTACAGTGTGCCTGAACCTCTTAGGATGTGTTTTCCTCAAAGACTTTTTCTTCTAACCTCTCACAATACTAGTTATTAAAGATTTGAAGAAATCTGACATCTTTCTGGGTTTGCTTATTTTTAAAATCTTCTTTCAGGTTCTTGACTTACAAACAGCCCTTGAAAGTATTACCGCAAATTATAACAACGAGACTGTGACACTTCAAGACATCTGCTTGGCCCCTCTCTCACCTTATAACAAGAATTGCACCATTTTGAGTGTGTTAAATTACTTCCAGAACAGCCATTCTGCACTGGACCATCAAGTAGGGGATGACTTCTTTGTGTATGCCGATTATCACACGCACTTTCTGTACTGTACACGGTAAGTGGCAGCAGCCAACCATTTGTTTATCCTGCCAATATTCGAGCACTTCTTTTTGCTTTCACCACTCATGGTACTAGAGACCCATCAGTGAACCAACAGAGCAATGCGTACCCCGCGAAGCTCACATCTTAATGAATGGGAACTGGCAATCAGTAAATACAGTCATATGTTTCTTCTCAATGAGGACCCATTCTGAGAAATTCATTGATAGTTAATTCTTTATTGTGGGAACATATCATGGAGTATGTTTACACAAAATAAGGCAGCTATGACATCTCTAGGCAATATAATCTTGAGGAACCCACTATCATGTGTAGTCCATCATTGTCAGAAACGCTATTGTATGGCATACTGGATATATATGCTCTCGTGTCAGTAAAAGATTAGTGTTGGGAAAGACAAATAAGGCTTAGCAAAAAAAGGAATGAGTTTTAGAGAAGAAACTTGCACAAAAGACAGCCTGTGGATATCACAGGAAAAAGTGTTTACAGCAGAATAAGCAGCATGGGCAAAGGCTCTAGAGTGGGCGCTTCCTTGGTGTGTAATCCAGGATCGATCTTTAACTCTTGCCTGGGTCAATAACAGTTTGATGTCCACACCTACTCCCCTAAGATTTGAAGGTAGAATCTTATTGAGCTTGTGCCTGTTTTTCATGTGTAACCTGATATCCTAGTACCTAGCTGTGTTTAAAGCATGTCACCTCCTTTTGAGGAGTTGGGGAGAACTGGCATGCAGTTTTAGATTAGAAGGCCTTAAGCTGCTTCCCTTGGGAGGCCTGCATCTGGCTGGGCAGGGATTCTTTAAAATTGGGATTAGTTGCCCAAGGAAGCTGTGCTTAGGTGATCTTTGAGGGGAGCTTTGGGCTTATTCAGTCTTCCATCTCTGAATGCTCCAGAGGTGGCCTGAGGGCGATTGTTCAGCGATGTGAACAACCACAGTGGCTTTGTGTTCACCACAGGAACAGGAAAAATACCTCCATGTCTCTTTTGATTGCATTGCTTAACTCACTGTGTCTCAAGAGCTGAGCACTCTGGTTTCTGGTTGTCAGGAACTCTGGTGACCCTAAATTTTGTTGTTCAAATGTGACTGCTCAGGCTGTTGGTCAGTGTTCATTCTGTTTCAAGGACGTTGCCTCTTAAACATGAGTTGTACTCATAAAACAATAAATAAATGTATGCCTGTGTGCCTCAAAACAGCATTGTAGACAGGGCAGACGGTACGAGGGGACTGTGGGTAACCAGGAGGGTATGTGGGTGATAAATATGATATTACGTAATTGCTTTCTATATTTCAGAGGGAAAAACTATTTTCTGTTTTACAAAATAAAGCCAAAAGAATTGGGGGGAGAGGTGTGTGAGACTTGGGTTTTATCAAAGGGCCTGGTTTAGACAGGCATGGAAGCCCTTCTGGGACAGTTCCCATGACAGGCTGTGTGGCTTGGTTTTTTCATGACTCCGGCCTGTCTCTCGTTTTCACTCCTTTCCACATGCACATCCCAAAGGAACAACAGACTTGGCCTTCCCAGAGTCAGGGCTAGACTTCTTTCCCTGGTGTCTTTGAATGGCATTGACATCTACCAGTGAAGCCAACATGAGGCTCTATCCCTGACTTCCTCCTCTCGCCTTCCTCATGTGATTGTGGTGAATCTTAACCTCTCCAGGTCCTTCCTGCTGTGACAGTCAGGCTGTGGGATGAAGGACCTCACAGCAGCTCCGAAGAGCAGGTCCTCTGTGCAGACCTCCCTGAGCTCCCAGCTGAGTTCTGGCTGCCGACTGCCTTGAAATGCTCATTCTCCTCACACAGAGTAGCCATCTACCCGTGCTCTCTTGCCTGGGCCATTGCACAAACTTCCTGACTGCCCTCCCACCTTCCTGTTTCTTTCCCACTCCCCAGACCTCCTCCCACTTTGCCACTGATTTTTTTGGAAAACAGCTCATGACATCCCTTCCCCAGACATCTCTGACTGTTCCCCAGTGCCTTCAGGGTTAGAATTAAACCACTTAGCCTGGCATCGATCAGATCCTTATTTTTGCCATTGTTCATCCTTTCCAGCCCTGCCCCCTCCCTTAGGAGCATCCTTTGTCTGCACCTCATATGCAAGGCCAGGTCTTACTGTGCCCTGACCACCTTCCTCTTGCTCTTGCCTCCTCTTACACACCTGTTCTCTCCCCCAGGGTGTATGGAGCAGCTCTTTGCTGCTGAATTGCCCTTATACTTAGAAATGTGGTCTAGAACCACATCTCTACAGGTCTCCTTCTGGTGGCAGTTTTCTCCTCGTGTCATTTGCCCCCTCCTCTGTACCCACACAGCACCAGACACCAGGGCCAGGTCTTCTGCCTTTAGTCCAGGGAATCCAAGTTCTGAGTGGCTCATGACGGACAGTATCATCCAACTCAGGAACCTTAGGGCCCACCTTCTACTTAGAATACAGTTAGCCACAGTAAGTGTTTGCTGTCTAAATGTCCATGATGTCTTGAGGCTTATTCTAAGTGTTTTCTGATCTCTGGGCAGGGCTCCTGCCTCTCTGAATGATACAAGTCTGCTGCATGATCCTTGCCTCGGTACATTCGGTGGACCCGTGTTCCCGTGGCTTGTGCTGGGAGGCTACGATGGTAAGTAAGAGAAGCTGAGCTTCTCCTAGTAATCCTGGTTCCATCATGCAGTTAAGGGTGGTTAGGAAGATTTCATAAATGGAGCAACCTTCTTAATTCCCTGACTGTTGAATCTTAAATATAATATTTTCTTTGGCTTTGGCTTTGTGTTTTACTTTGGATTTAAAAGAAGTGGATTATGTTTACCTTTTAGGTCACACATGCCTTTGAGAAGCTGTTAAAGGCTAAGGACATTTTCCCAGAATAGTGTAGTTGTGTTGTTGGTCAATTGCAAGGAGGTCACAGACCTGGAAGCTTACCAGCAGAATGTCTCAGGAGGCCATGACCTCAGGTTCAGAACCCACGTAATGGGGAAGGAATAAAAATCCAAAGTTGGTGTTTTTTTTGTTGTTGTTGTTGTGTTTTTTGTCCCCTTCTAAACCATCCAGGACAATCTGGATACCTTTATAGTGGGAAGAACATTCTTCGCTGGTTTCTGTGGCATCTAGGACAGATGGGGTAGATAAAATGGGGTGGTGATTCACGCGACATCTTTGGCATCTGAAGCCTCCCTGCAGGCTCAACAGGTTTTTCCCTAGCTGATGAAGAGGCCAGCTAGGTTTTCTTCCCTTGGCTCAGAAGCAGGAGAGAACTTGTGATCTGTATTTAAAATTGACTCTGCCCTATATAATAAAATGCCATTTCTAATCGTAGGGAAAGCATGACATCAGCAGCTGGCTAGCCAAAGGGAAAAAAATTAAAACTGTCCTCTTCCTTATTCCTTCTACCAAAATAAACTCCACATAGATCAAAGATCGAAATGTGAAAAGTAAAACTGTTGGAGAACTGGAAGATCATACAGGAATATGGGAGGATTTTTCCCCCTAGTACTGGGGACTGAATCCAGACCTCACACACGGTAGGCAAGCAAGCACTCTACCCCCTGAGCTATATCCCCAGCCCCTACAGGAGGAATTTTTTAAAATAATTTTGAAATGACAAACACATTTTGAAATAAGAAAACTGGAAAGCCACAAAAGGAAAGACTGATGGATTTGACTACATAAAAAATTTTGAATGCTTGGGTGGAGAACAAACATACAGTTAAAAACTGGCAAGAAACTGAAAAACAACAACAACAAAGAATTAGCATTCGTAACAGCTTTTCCTTAGCACTGTGAAACCACAAAGAAGTGGTTGAAAGTTAACAGAAGCAGCAATACAAATGGCATTTAATTATATGGAGGAAATGTTCCTGTTCCCTCCTGATGGTAAAATGCATCTCACTTCAGTCTTTCTACCTAACAAATTGACAAAGGCCTAAACGAGTTGATAAAACCTTGTGTTGGTGAAACATGGGAGCTCTACTATTATTGCTGAAAATGTAAATTGGTTACGCAAAAGTCAATTCCAGGAAGATGGGATTTTTCTTTTACTCCCTGATATATATCCACAGGACCTAAAGTAAGGCCTGGCACAAATTAGTTCTCAGTAAGTGTTTTGTTAAAGGTATAACAAAACTGCTGTCCTCTTTGGACAGCAGTTTGTGAGAATTTATCAAAAATAGAAAGTAACATAGTTTTTTTTTTAATATTTATTTTTTAGTTGTAGTTGGACACAATATCTTTATTTATTTATTTTTATGGGATATTGGGGATTGAATCCAGGACCTCGCTTGTGCTAGGCGAGCACTCTACCACTGAGCCACAACCCCAGCCACCCCTTTTTTTTTTTTAATATTTATATTTTAGCTGTAGTTGGACACAATATTGGCACATAGTTTTTGACTCAGGGATTATGCTGTAATATTTGATCCTATGAATATGTACTTTACATACTAAAAATATACTATATATATTTATACATCTATGGATATATAAATAGTTATAGTAATTTTGTAATAGAAAAATTGCAAGAATGTCCATCAATTGGGAATTGGTTGAATTATACTGGCAAATAGCATGCTTCAGGAGAAGATTAAAAAGCTCTATATGTACTAAAATGGAGCGGTCTCCAAGATACAGAATTTTAAATTGTAATGTGTAGAACAGTATGTTACCATTTGTGTAAGTAAAAAGGAAAAGGGAAGAATATCCATATGGGTTTGCTTGTGTGCGCATGGTGCAGCTTCTGGACAGATTCACAAATGGCCACAGCATGGAAAGAGAAGCAAAGAATGGAATGGAGAAAGGAAGGGGAGAAAGTTCTCACATAACACCTTTCTCTTCTGTTTGAAATTTTTACCATATATGTACTGTGTAGTTTGAGGGGAAAAATCATTCTCCCTGAATTATAACTGTCCCCTTCAGACAGGGAAGCCTGTTCACTAACCAAGATACTCATAGACCATTTCTTGTTTGGTCTTAGAGCACAGACTCCATTTGTCTCCAGTGAGAAATCAGATCAGCTACTGTGTTGTGATTTCCTCCTTGTATTTATCTGATTTTCTACATGCTCATAATCTGCTTTTTGATGTCACGTTTTACCTTTCTAGATCAAAACTACAATAATGCCACTGCTCTCGTGATTACCTTCCCTGTCAATAATTACTACAATGATACAGAGAAGCTCCAGAGGGCCCAGGCCTGGGAAAAAGAGTGAGTCACTATTGAATAAACAAACTGTCCTTGCTTTTTGTGAAGCTGGATATTTGCAACAAGCCCTTGAACTTCATTCTCTAACTTAGCCAGCATGAGTTCTAAGATATGTAATATTTTTCACTTGCTAAGAATTGTGCTCAGAAGAAATCTTTGGACATACTTACATATAAATAGATGTTTTAAGCAGGTATTCTTACCCAGGAAGGCAAAGCATGCACAAATGCACCTTGCCTTTTTTCTAACAGCAAAATTGGGAGCACACTGTACAGCAATGAGGGATGGGTACAGTAGAATATTATGCACTTATTAATGAGAACAAGGTAAGTAAATGATTCCAGATCTAGTAAAAGCTGTAATCAGCATATTTACATGAACATAAGCTGTTCATGCGGTTCATGAATATAAACTGTTCAAGTAGATGGCCTGAAAAACTTAACTGTGTTCTTAACCTCTCAGAACATGGCAAGAGAAGTGTCAGGAAGATGGGGGACTTTAACTCTTCATACCCTTCTGTACTTTTTTGTTTGGTACTTGTGGCACTGGGGATTGAACCTAGGGCCTTGCACATGCTAGGCAAGCACTCTACCAGTAAGCTGCATCCCCCACTCTTTTTTTATTTTGAGACAGGGTCTTGCTTAAGATACCCAGGCTGGCCTCAGTCTGCAGGATCTTCTGACCTCAGCCTCTTACATAGCTGTTATTACAGATATGTGCCAATCAGCACAATTTTTAAAACAGTTTTATTGAGATGATGTAAACCATAGAGTTCACTCATTTGAAGTGTAGTTTAATGGCTTTAGTGTATTCACACATATGGTCAACCATCACTACAGTCAATTTTAGAACACTTGGATTATCTTGGAATGAAACACTGTATCCTTTAGCTGTCACCTACCTTTTCTCATCTTCTTCATTCACCGCTATAAACAATCACTAATCTACTTTCTGTCTTCATACATTTTCCTAGTTTAGACTTTTATATGGTTGGAATCATTTTTGTGGGCTTTTGTGTTTGGCTTCTTCCCCTTAGCGCGTTTTCAAAGTTCATCCACGTTCTCACATCTTTTTATGACCAAATAATATTCCATTATGTAGTTCTACCATATGTATTTGCCCATTCATCAATTGATGCACATTTGAGTTATTTCTGTCTTTTGTCTATAATGAATAATGCTGCTATGAATATTTTTATAAGTTTTCATTTCTCTTAGGTATATATCTAAGAGTAGAATTGCTAGATCATGTGGTAACTCTACCTTTAGTTGTTTGAAGAACTGCTGGACTCTTTTCCAGTATGTGATGGTTCCAGTTTCCACACTTCTATGCCAGCACTTGTTATTATCTGCCTTTTAGATTCTAGCCATCCTACTGGATATAAAGTAGTATGTCGTTGTGGTTTTCATTAGCATTTTCCTAATGATGAAAAATTTTAGGCATCTTTTCATGTACTTAATTCTCCATCTTCCTTGGAGAAATATCTATTCATATGGTTTGCCCATTTTTTTATTATTGATTTTTAAGAAATTTTTATATATTCTTTATCAGATATATGACTTCCAAATATTTGCTCCCATTCTATTGGGTCTTTTTTTGGTTGTTGCTTTTTTGATGCACAAAAATTTTTTAATTTTGAAGAGATTCAGTTGTTTTTTTTTTTTTTTCTTTTCTGGCTTCTTGCCTTTGTCCCAACACGGGCAGCCCTTGGTAGAATGGGCTGGCTACAAAGCAAAACCTAAGAAAACCAGAACGACCTAGAAACCGCAGGACACAGAAAATATTTTCATAAAGCGGAGGCAGGGTGGGCTAGCCGATTATACAGATCGAGCTTCTATACTAAAAAGGCAAAATGGAGCCTGCGCTTGCTTTATATATATCAGGGAACACCAAAGGCTTTCCATAACATGTTCTTCACAAAAAGGTAGAAGGTGGGCTGTCCATTCCCAACAGGTTACGCCCATCTCCACAGCTTCTGTGAGGGACCTTCCTAGTAGAGTGGAGATAAAGGTCCCTTGCCTTGGGCAATCTACTGTGTGGGAGAGCCATGGATCATTCCCAAGGTTAAACCTAAAATCTCCCTGACTGCCATACTGAGAGAAGACCCTCAAGTAATTCACGGGTGGCTTCCCGCAGTGCCTCAGACTTTCAGTGTCATGTCCAAGAAACCATCGTCTAATCCAAGAACATGGGGGTTTACTCTGTGTTTTCTCCTGGGAGTTTTATAGTCTTAGCTCTTACATTCAGCAATCTGATCCCTGGAGTTAATTTTTGTGTGAGGTGAGGGTCCAGGTTCATCCTTTTTCTTGTAACTCTCCAGTTGTCCTACAGCATTTGTTGAAAAGGTTTTTCTTTCCCACTGAAGAGTCTTGGCATCCTTATCAAAAATTAATTAATCCCTGACACATGGCATGTTTCTGGACTCTCAAAAATTTGTTCCTTTGATCTGTGTCTCTTCTGGTGACAGTATAATGGTGTCTTTATTACTATTGTTTTCTAGGAAGTTTTGAAATTGGGAAGTGCAAGTCCTACTTTCTCTTCTTGAAAAAGTTGTCTTGGCTATTCTTAGCCAGGCAATTGCATGTGAGTTTTAGAATCAACTTATCAGTTTCTGCAAGAATCAGCTGGGATTCTGATGGCCTACTTTTTTTTTGGAACTGGGGGTCGAACTGGGCCAGGGCTTTGCAAATGCGAGGCAGATGCTTTCTCATTGAGCTACATCATCCCAGCCTGATTCTGATAAATTTTGCATTGTTGAATGAATTTTTATGTTCATTAAAGTGTACTGCACATAGATATCTTTTTTTAACCTTAATTTTATTTTACTTTTTTTTAATATTTTATTTTGGTTGTAGTTAAACAATACCTTTACTTATTTTTATGTGGTGCTGAGGATCGAACCCAGGGCCTCGCACGTGATAGGTGAGCGCTCTACTGCTGAGCCACAACCCCAGCCCATATAGATATCTTTTTTAAAAAAACAAAACACACACAGGCAGAACATGAACCTATTTTAAACTTGTTCCAAATCTGTTTTAAATGGTAGAAAGTTCAAGACTCTGTGACGGAGTGCTTGCCTAACATGCTTGGGGTTTGATCCCCAGCATCTCGCCCACCAAAAAAAAGGAATTCAGCTTGACAAGGACTGTGGCGGTGTTTCACACCTTTTAGGCTCCAGTGTTGAAACTCCTAATGCAGGGCAAAGGTTAAGTGTGGCCTTTGCTCTTAAAAGTTGGGAAAGAAGCTCTTACTTATCTGTCACTTAGTTTTAACTAAAACTGTTAAATTTTGCTTATCCTTTAGGTTTATTAATTTTGTGAAAAACTACAAGAATCCAAATCTGACCATTTCTTTCACTACTGAACGAAGTATTGAAGATGAACTAAATCGTGAAAGTAATGGGGATATCTTCACTGTTGTCATTAGCTACGCCATCATGTTTCTGTATATTTCCCTAGCCTTGGGGCACATCAAAAGCTGTCGCAGGCTTCTGGTAAGTGTGTGTGTGTGTGGGGGGGGGGGATTGTATTATGTGTATATTTCATGTTCCTATGTGTTTGTTATGTGTGTGTTAGAAATGGCAATGCCCGGTATGATGTTGTATTTAAGCCTCTACTTAGTCTTTTTTTTTTTTTTTTTCTTTGTACTGGGGATTGCACTCAGGGCTCCTTAACCTCTGAGCCACATCCCCAGAACCAAGAAATAGTCTCCTTTTTATTTTTTATTTTTTTATTGTTGTTGTGGTGGTGGTGCCGAGGATTAGAACCCAGGGCATTGTGCATGTAGGGCAAGCACTCTACCAACTGAGCTAGATCCCCAGTTCCCTTTTTATTTTTTATTTTGAGACAGTCTCACTAAGTTGCTTAGGCTGATTCTGAACTTGCGGTCTTCCTGCCTCAGCCTCCCAAGTTGTATTACATGTGTACTACCATGCCTTTGTATTACATGTGTACTACCACGCATGGTGCCTCTACTTATTCTTTTCTTTTATATCTATCTATCTATATATATATAACTATATATCTATATCTATCTATATCTATCTATCTATATATATATATATATATTTTTTTTTTTTAGTTGTCAATGGACCACTTATTTATTTGTATATGGTGCTGAGAATCGAACCTAGTGCCTCGCACATGCCAGGCAAGCACTCTAACCACTGAATAACAACCCTAGCCCCTCTACTTATTCTAAATTCATTAAGTCCTAAACTCTTTTTGAGCTGGGCACAGTGTTGTGTGCCTACAATCCCAGCTATTAAGGAGGCTGAGTTAGGAGAATTACAAGCCTGAGGCTAGCCTGGGCAACTGAGGGAGTCCCAGTCTCAAAACAAAACAGAAAGGGTTGGGGATGTAGCTTAGCGGTAACACACTTGTTTAGTATATATGAGGGCCTAGGTTTAATCCCTAGTACCACAACCAAAAAAAAAGGAAAACTTAGATGTATTGATGTACTGTTCCTTTTGAGGGACTCAGGTGCAAGCTGTGTGTTAATTACATGACAGTTCTGTTTCTTGCATCTATTTTCTTCAGTTTCAATTTTTTATTTCATCTTAATCCTAAAGTTCTTCACATTGTTTGTTTGTTCGTTTGTTTTTTCTAATTTGTCCACTCCATCACTAAGAATGTGAGCTTAGGAAATATGCTACTAGGAAAGACCTGGAAGTTTTTTCATCTCTCTCTCAAATTAGGAATTATCCTTTTTTTTTTTTTTTTTTGGTACTAGGGATTGAACTCGGGTATTCTACAACTGAGCCACATCCCCAGCCCTATTTTGTATTTTATTTAGAGATGGGGTCTCACTGAGTTGCTTGGCGCCTCACCGTTGCTGAGGCTGGCTTTGAACTCGCAATTCTCCTGCCTCAGCCTCCCAGGCCCCTGGGATTACAGGCGTGCGCCACCACACCCGGCTATACTTTTAATTCTAGGTTAGATAGACCCATGTAAAGCAGTAAAAATGAGGACCTTTTAGTAATCAATGGGCAAAACCTCCTCTAACTGACAACTTGTGTCTTCGTCACCTCTCAGGTGGATTCTAAAATCTCCCTAGGCATCACAGGGATCGTGATCGTGTTGAGCTCGGTGGCCTGCTCATTGGGTATCTTCAGCTACATGGGGACCCCATTGACCCTCATAGTGATTGAAGTCATCCCGTTCCTGGTGCTGGCTGTGGGGGTGGACAACATCTTCATCCTGGTGCAGACCTACCAGGTACGCATTCATCTTCCCAGGGAGCATGCCATGCCAGCATGGGGGCCTGTTAGCAGCTGGGCATTTGTCAGTGCAGACAGTGAGGAAGCTTTGTGTTATTGCCCTCTGTGGCTCACAGGTGTCCTGGTTTTATCTCGGATGTTTTGGTACCAAGAATTTCAGCCTTGTCTTTGGTAGGTGGCATAGATGTAAAGTGAAAATTTGATTTTTAAAGTATCTTTCCACATGTGCACGAAAAGGGCTAACATTTTGGGAATGCTTTTGGACATAGCTTATTAAAATAATTCTTAGCACAGTGTAGAAGAATGAGAGTTTTGTTCTAAGCGCCACTAAAAAGACCCAGAGTCAACATACAGCCCGCTGATGTAGAAAGTGGCCCCAGTTGGTCATCCTGAAGCCCCTGCCAGAGTGGAGAGTCAGTAGCATAGAAAAGAAGCATCATTTAAGGATCCAGCCACCTGCAGCCTGTGTTCCTGTATTCTTGTGATAACAGATTCAGTTCTTCCTTGGGTTTCTCACCTAAATACCTGGGCAGTGGTTCAGAAATACTCTGCTTCAACCTAAGAAGTTTGGAGTCCCCACCAAAGTTTATAGGGTTAGATATACTGCTAATCATCTACTAATAATTTTATATTATCAAATTAACACAAAGAAGCGAAGAGGTGGCATTTTTATTGAGAAATTTTAATGTTGCGTATTTAATTTTTTTTTTAAGAGAGATGAACGTCTTCAAGGGGAAACCCTGGATCAACAACTGGGCAGGGTCCTAGGAGAAGTGGCTCCTAGTATGTTCCTGTCATCCTTTTGCGAGACTTCAGCGTTTTTCTTTGGTAATTATGCTTTAAATTGTACCAGTCCTATAGTTTGCTGAGCCTGAGAATAGAAAGAGCTGGGTACTTGGATTTGTGCCCCTTCCTGCCTCTTCCTTTTGTCATTTTTATTCCATAATTGGACAGTTAATCACTGAGTGGAGAATAAGAACAATTGGTGACAGTATCTTGGGTATCAGTTTGCAAGTGCCTTCTTTCCTATGAGAGGCATTGGCCTGCAGGATGTTCTGGCTGTGTTTTGGTAGACAGTCTTCCTGTACACACCACTCACTGGGGAGGCAGCCTCCCCTAGGGGTTTATGCATCTTTCTTCAGTTCGAGGAGCTGGGATAAGCTGGAACAAAAAATCAGCCCTTCTATACTTCTTTTCTATGGAGACATCGCCAAGTAGACTCACGGGTCAGGCTGCTGGCTGCATCTCTGTAGTGAGTGAGGAGAAAAGCAGTTGTCCTCAATAGAGGAGGGTGGATTAGAAGCCATCAGCCCGGAGAAGATACTGTCTGTGGGTCACAGACCATAGTGCCTGCATGGTCCCAAGGTCACCTTCAGCAGGGACACTGTAGGATCTTCATTGATGGTAGTCTTTGAACACAGACATGCTGTCACCATGTTAGTCTCATTTCCACAAAGCTGAATGCTTTTGAAACCTGTGGCCTTTATTGTTCCTTTTGACGGACACAGGTGCAGAAGAAAAAGTTCTTTTTACTTTCGTCATTAGAAAACCCGTGCAAGGATAAGGATATTATTAGCAGCTGAGACTGTGCCTCAAGGTTGGAGTGATCTTGGGGAGATAGTTTGGGAGGAAGCTGTGGCACCCTGAGTGAGAGTGTCCCTCCTATAGAAGTAGTGACATGTGGCCAGCCCAGGATTGCAAGGTCTGATTTTTCTTTTTTTTCCCCAAAACTAGATTTTTGTGTTAAAACTATCTCATCATTAAATACTACTTTTTTTTTTTAGTGCTAGAGATTGAACCCCGGCCCGAGCCTTGTACAAGCTAGATAAATGCTCTTCCTTAGGGCCGTGCCCCTAGCCCAAATGCTGACTACTTATTAAGAAATATTTTTAAAATCCTAAAATGGACCACTGAAGTGTGGGCCAAGCAGTAAATATCTGGCCCAGTTTGAGTCTTACCCTGGTATCTTTGACTTGGAATACTCCTTTTTACTGTAACTTCACAGGGAGGCGAGCATTGTTGAAACAATAGCAGGTGGAAAACACAGTCCCTTCCTCAGAGTGAGACATATAAGTTACTCCAAGAAATAGCCTTATTTTTCATGGTTCTCAAATTGTAACGCACATAAATTTGCCTGAAAACCTGTTAAATATATTAGAGTTGAGGTTGAAGTACGCAATTGTGTCTTGGTTAAGCAGGATAGGGCCTGGGACCCGGAGTGTACTCCCCAGCTGGTCTGGTGCTGACATCATTTGGAAAAGCTCTGAGCTCTTAGACCCCATTCCTCTGCCAGTTTCCGTGTGGCAGCCATGCAGACTTCAGGGCGTACCTTCTTATGGGTCAGGCCTATGTGGCCCCTTATGTTCTTGTGTCCACATGAGTGTGACTTGCACAGATTCCTCTGCAGTGAGTGGAGTGACGCAGAGCTATTCCTGTCCCTGTAGGAGCCCTGTCGGTGATGCCAGCCGTCCACACTTTCTCTCTGTTTGCGGGATTGGCCGTCTTCATTGACTTCCTACTTCAGATTACCTGTTTCGTGAGTCTCTTGGGATTAGACATTCAACGTCAAGAGGTAAGTTGGTACCAGGGCTACAGTCCGTTTAATATGTGTTTGAAATCTAGATGAAGGAACCAGACGGTATTTTCTGTGACCTTTGTTCCTCTTTGTCCCTCAGAAAAATCGGCTGGACATCCTCTGCTGTGTGAAAGGTGCTGAAGATGGAAGCAGTGTCCAGGCCTCAGAAAGCTGCCTGTTTCGCTTCTTCAAAAACTCCTACTCTCCACTTCTGCTGAAGGACTGGATGCGACCCATTGTGGTATGCACCCCTCTGTGGTTTCTCTTTCTTCCCCGCAAGACAGATGTATCTCATGCCTTCGAAGAACTCACACAGCCCAAGAGGCAGATTGCTGACAGCTTTAACATGTATAAATAGTAAAATCCTTTTCTATCAAAGTTTTATCAGTCCCAATAAGCAATAGAGTTGTCAATTTTTTTTATTTTTAAATAATTATAAACTCATAGACTGTTGCAAAGGTAGTACAGATGGGACCCAGGTTTCCTGAACCCAGTTTTCCCCAGTGGTACATTTTACATAATTATAGGACAACATCAGAACCAGGACATGTCTGTCTGTGTGTGGGTGGGGGGGGGGGGTGCTGGGAAGGACATACTAAACAAATGCTCTACCATGGAGCTACACCTGCACCCCAGAACCAGGAATTTGATATTGACACAATGTGTGTGTAGTTTTGAGATATTATCACATTGTGCAGGGTCCCATGATCTTCACTGTAGTCAGGATTCAGAACTGTCCTATCACTGTCCAGACCCCTCATTGGTGCGCCCTCTCATTGCTAGATAGTGACCATTCTCTACTAAAAGAACACAAGGTAGTTTCCCATAACAGCAAAAAACAATAGTGATATTAACATTTTTTGAACATTTAGTATCAGTTGGGTACTAGGCTAAAATTGGAATTATCCCTGGATTTTAGAAAAGTCCTGCTTTGAAGTGTAGCTCAGTGGTAGAGCCCTTGCATGTACTACCACTGGGATTCCCAGCACTGAAAAACAAGAAAAAGAAAAGTCCTGTTTTGTGTGTGTGAGGGAGGGAGAGAGACTGATTTTATTTCTCTTCTTCAACTCATTGTTATATTAAACAGTTGCCATCTTACAATTCACTTTCATTCCAGGTTGCCGTATTTGTGGGTGTCCTGTCATTTAGTATTGCGGTCCTGAACAAAATAGAAATTGGATTGGATCAGTCTCTTTCAATGCCAGATGTAAGATATTTTCTTATTATTATTTTTTTACTTCAACTGGTAATGAGTAAAGTTTTCAGTAAATGCACATGGGCGTTGTGCCTGCTTCTCTGTGCAAAGGCAGCAGGCGATGGTGACAGTTGATCACATGATATAAGAACTGCCACCAGGCTGTGTCCGTGTGGGCCACCTTCACCTTCTGGGCTCTTTGGACACAGCCATTGAATGGAGGTCCAACCTGATTGGGATTGGCAGGAGGAGCACCCTGGAACCCAAGGAAGAGAATCGCAAATCCAGGCTGGAGGCGTCTCGGCCTGCTGGTGCCCTCTGAATTCTCAGTGACCGTCACCTCACTTAGTTACCATCAGATCATTCATACTTTCTCTCACCTTCTTTGGTCTTTCTTTCAGGACTCTTACGTCATAGATTACTTCAAATCCCTTGGTCAGTACCTGCACGCAGGTCCGCCTGTGTACTTTGTCCTGGAGGAAGGGCACAACTATACATCCCTACAGGGACAGAACATGGTGTGCGGCGGCATGGGCTGTGACAACGATTCCTTGGTGCAGCAGATATTTAACGCGGCTCAACTGGACAACTAGTCAGTACCACCTGCTCCTCATGTGCCTCAGCAGAAGCAGTAGGAACGGGCTCCCAGCCAGTCAGCTCGGGCCTGAAATTTCTCACTGAAAATAGACTTTCTTGGAAAAGTTGTTTTTAGTCAAAACATATGTTAAATCTAATTTAACCTAAGCAAAACCTTTCAAAGAACTAATTTGCTACCTGGTCCTTTGGAGGTTTTTTTCACTGACTTATAATGTAGTTTATCTTTTGACTGATAGCAGTATAAAGCGATGAAAAGATATTAAGTTTCAAGGAAAAGTACTGAATTTAAAGACTCCTCCCTGTGCAGCAAGTTAACAGTTTTTGTTTTTTGTTTTTTGTTTTTTGTTTTTGTTTTTTTTTTTTTTCCTCCTCTTTCTCCAGCACCCGGATAGGCTTTGCTCCCTCGTCCTGGATTGACGATTATTTTGATTGGGTTAAGCCACAGTCTTCTTGCTGTAGAGTCTACAATATCACTGACCAGTTCTGCAATGCTTCAGGTATTTTCACCTCCTTCTCCAGATCTTTCCTTTTTTGCTGAAAAATTTTAACATTACATGCAGATCATTTGCATTTTGCCTCAGCGTGTGCCCGTTTCTGTGCCAGCTCCGGGTTTCATTCCCTTTGTCTTTGTCCCTCTCCTCTGTCATTCGCTCTGAATCATGCCACGTGTTTCTCTCTGAGCCCTCCTCGGGGCTGCAGGCCAAATAAGGTCACTCCAGAGAACTGGTTCCCACATGAGGCTTCTCATTCTGCCTTTTTTGAGTGGCTGCTGGCCCTGGCTTCTCAGAGGCATTGCCTTTGTTTGTCGCTGTTGCCTGGTGGTTTTTAAGTGTTGAGGTTGTCCTAGAATTTTCTTAATGGGAACACGGAAGCCCTTGGCTCTCGTAATACCAGTTGAGGTTGTCATCCATGAAGCAGGAAACCTACCAGGGCAGGAAATGCTGTATGGTCCGCCTAAGATGAAGCTGTGTATTAAATTTATTAAACAATGAAAGTCACTTGTGACTGAAGCTTTTGGTTAAAGGGAAAGATTCAGGAAAATCATTCAGTCTCTAATTTAAAAAAAAAATCTGCAGGCCCATTCTTCTAACAGTTGGTTCCCCCTCTGTTTCTGCCAGTGGTTGACCCTTCCTGCGTCCGCTGCAGGCCTCTGACTCCGGAGGGCAAACAGAGACCTCAGGGTGGAGACTTCATGAAATTCCTGCCCATGTTTCTCTCTGATAACCCTAACCCCAAGTGTGGCAAAGGGTAAGTGCCGCTGAGCCAGGTCAGATAAGCGTCTGCTGCAGCTTTAATTTGTAATGGAGAACTAAATGAGGGCTGGGTTAAGACAGTTGGTGGGAAAGGGCATCTTCTCCACCCTCACCCATCCTGTCCCAATCCTACGGGCAGTAAAGAAACTTAAGACACGTTTTAAAAAAACAAAAACAAAAAGTCTGTTTTCAGCAGATTTCCTCCTGGCTTGTGATTCGTTTCTTACGCTGCTGTCTATGTCCTGTCCCGTTGGATGTACAGATAGGTGCTGGTTCCGTGCACATTATAATGGGACTGGAGGGAGAGGGTAGACATGCCAGTATTTCAGAGTGTGAATGAACTTGGTTTGTCCACTTGTGCCAATGGGTGTAAGGGACCATGCCTTTGCTTTGGTAATGCTATCCCAGATCCATGTTTAGTGGTGCATAATCATGATCCCAGGGACATTGGACACTATAACAGTAGGATCCCAAGTTTAAGGCCAACCTTGGCAACTTAGTGAGACCCTATCTTAAAATTTAAAAAAAAAATTTAAATGCTAGGACATAGCCCAGTGGTAGAACGCCCCTGGGTTCGATCCCTACTACCACAAAAAACAATGGTTTCGATTCGGTTAGCCCCACCGTGCTCCCTGCCAGCCTGGCCGTAGAGGAGGCTGTGGGCTTTCTCGTTCCCCATCCAGCCAGTTGCCCACAGTGCAGGATATCTGACTTGGAAATAGTGAAGAAGATTGGGGGTTGATTTGGAAATTTTTGCAGGTTGGAAGATGAGCATCCACATGTATGTGAGTTTAACTGAACATACTTGTTTTTTCATAAGGATCCATTTTTTACTTGAGTCACATCAGTTAATCGTATGTATCGTGTCTGTGTTTTAAAACCTGTACTAGGTCCCACAGGAAGACTGCCCCTAAAAATAAAAGAGAAATGAGTCTTGCAACTTGGTTCCTGAGTACTTTGGCCTACATAATACCAGCTGAGATGAGCTCAGTTGTAACAAAGGCAGCTGGGGGGCACCCGCTGTGCAGAACTGCCCATCCAGCCTGCAGCCTGTGGCACTGGTGCTGGTGGTGCAGAGCTGGAGGCTAAAGCTTGGGTGAGGGAACCTTGCCAGGGTTTCAGAGCCAACTGCAGCAGGCCGAGGTCGAGGGCAGGCCTTGGCCCTTCCCTGCCTCCTGTTAGACAGCAGCACTAAGTAAACTCCGTATCAGAGCATGTTTGTTTAAGAGCAGAATCAGATAGAAAAACAATAACTACCAAGCACCAGAGAAACCACACCAATAAAGAAAAGCCAGTCTGGGCGAGAACAAGCCAGAGCTTCTGCACTCCCTCATCAGGACACCTTTTTCATCTGTGAAGTGTACAACTGTGTCTGGCTTCTGAGCCTGGTCAGGTGACTCCACTTAGCCTGGAGTGCTCAGATTCTGCCCAGTTTGCAAGGCTGGCCTCTCTGACACCCACTCTTTCCCAGGGGACATGCAGCTTACAGTTCAGCAGTTAACATCCTTGGCAATAATACTGGCATCGGAGCCACATACTTCATGACCTACCACACCGTGCTGCAGACCTCCGCTGACTTTATTGATGCTATGAAAAAAGCCCGACTTGTGGCCAGTAACATCACCGAAACCATGAGCACGAAGGGCAGTAATTACCGGGTGTTCCCATACAGGTAAAATGTGGATTTTTATAAAGAAGAGTTTCCTGGAGAAGGGTCTGTCTCTTAGGGGGATGCTGGTCTTCAGCTTGGATTCTGACACTTGCTCCAACTTGAGCACAGGAGATGTGTATCAAGGGGAATGGCATGCTGGGAAAATGGAACTAGAACCTTGAGCCTCTGAGAACTACAAACTGCACTTGGTTAGTGCTGTATCACAGCCCCAACAAGACCCCAGGCAGGGTGCTGCCTCAGGGAAGGGCTGCCCTGGTGCACCTAGAGAGCAGCTGTTGGGTATTCCTGACCACGGATTACTCGGTGCTTTTAAGTGGACTTTTCATTTGATGGGTTTATTTATTATTTTTTCCTGCCAAGGAGTGTAATATATATTAAATACTGAATTTGGGAAATAGAGAATGGTAAAAGAAACAATTGGCTTTTTTTTTTTTTTTTTTTTTTTTTTAACCACCACCATGATCCCTGTGGAAGAAGTTCTTAAAAGTGTGTGTCCTAATTCCTGGAAAGCACTGATGTGGACCTTTTTTCACGAAAATACTATGGAATGCTTTTTGTAAATAGCTGTAAGGTAACATAGTTTGGGCTTTGAATCAAAAACTTTATATAGGGGGCTGGGGATATGGCTCAAGTAGTAGCGCGCTCGCCTGGCATGCGTGAGGCACTGGGTTCTATCCTCAGCACCACATAAAAATAAAATAAAGATATTGTGTCCACTTAAAGCTAAAAAATCAATATTTTTTAAAAATACCCTTATATAGAACAATGCATGAGGCCCTTCTTTGGGTGTCAGTGGCCATCAGAGATCCAGATGAATTACTGTACATGAGTGGTGCAGAAATGAGGGAGGTGTTCTGCAAGGGTGTCTCCAAGTGTCCCAGCTTTGCAGGAGTGAGAGTGGTCCAGAGTGGGGCTCCCAGGAGTGAACGTGAGCTGTAACGGAATGTCCCCCTTCCTCCCCAGTGTGTTCTACGTCTTCTATGAACAGTACCTGACCATCATTGATGACACCATCTTTAACCTTGGTGTGTCCCTGGGGTCCATATTTCTGGTGACCGTGATTGTTCTGGGCTGTGAACTATGGTCTGCAGTCATCATGTGCGTCACCATCGCCATGATCCTGGTCAACATGTTTGGCGTAATGTGGCTGTGGGGCATCAGTCTGAACGCAGTGTCCTTAGTCAACCTGGTGATGGTGAGTCCTTGTCCACTCTCATTTTGTCCCTAGCTCCCGTCACTCACATGGTTTCCTGAATTTCATAAAAACCCTAAAATGGAGTAAAATACCAAGTCTGCCTCTTACTCTTGGTGCTTAAGGAGAGGTGGGAGGAATCAGGACAGGGCATGGAGAGGCAGAAGCTGGGAGCAGAAGCACATTAAAGGTAATCTGTTCCCTCCCATTGTTTCCTCTAATCCCTTTGCAGCTATAGTAAATAGTGTGGTTCATGACGTCTGTACCAATGGCAGTGTGACCCCACTGTCTGGCATGGGTATTCTGCTTTTATTATCCGGAAGGCACTGCAAAAGCATGTAGCCTAATGACAGCAAGATATTTACTTTACAGAAAATTGTCCTTCCCCTCCCAACGGGGCCTCCCATCAGTTGCCAGGTGCTTTTTAATAAAATCTTGAAGAAGTGAGCATTCAGGAAGGTATTAATGGAAGATAGAAACTGTATCAGTATTTTCAGATAGTAACCCTTTCAGAGTGGCAGTGGGGCCCAAGTACAGGAAGACAGTGTGCTGGCTCAGTGGGGTGTGGTGGGGCCAACCCTAAGTCAAAAGGGCTGCTTGAGGGGGCGCTGGGGTTGTGGCTCAGTGGTAGAGCACTCGCCTAGCACATGCAAGGTCCTTAGCACCACATTAAAATGAAGGTATTGTGTCCAACTACAACTATAAAATAAATATTTTTTTAAAAGGGGGGTCCTCCAGCACCCAGGTTCCCTGGTAAACCCCCATTTTCGGAAAGAGGAGGTGGCTCAGGATTTTCAACTAGAAAAGAGCCGTTCTCATGTAAGTACTTTATTCTAGAGCTGTGGCATTTCTGTGGAGTTCTGCAGCCACATAACAAGAGCATTCACAGTGAGTGCAAAAGGAAGCCGCGTGGACCGTGCAGAAGAGGCGCTTGCTCTCATGGGCAGTTCTGTGAGTATACTCTGCGGGTGCACGCAGCAGGAGCATCAGGATGGGGTGCATGCTCGATGACTTTCTGAGAAGAAACTTTAAAATTCAGTGGGTAAAGCTGTTTTCCGGGCTGGAGTTGTGGCTCAGTGGTAGAGAGCTTGACCAGCATGTGTGAGGCACTGGGTTTGATTCTCAGCACTACATATAAATAAAATAAAGGTCCATCAACAACTAATAAAAATTAAAAAAAAAAAAAACAACTATTTAGATCTTTTACTGGACCTTAAAGGTACTAAGTAGCTCCTGTAAGTGGTCAGGCAGTTCATGAAATAGCTGTGTATTGTACAGACCTGAAATTCTTTACAGTCATGTTTGTAAGTCTCCTTTTTAGGTAGCAGGATAGCTCAAGCATATTAAGATTTGAGAGCGCAGGAAGCCAGCATGGTGTGTTGACCAGGAAGAGCTGCCTGGTCCCAGAACCCAGCCTGCAGCCTGTAGTGGGTGTCTGGAGGGTCTTAGTCCAACTCTAGTTCATCGGTTAATAATATTTTCTATAGTGGCAAGGCAATTAAAGAATAAAAATTGCCAGATGCATGCCAACAATTTTGAAGGCTGAGGCAAGGGGATGGCAAGTGTGAGCAAATTAGTGAGGCCCTATGCAACTGCCTCAAAATAAAAAATAAAAGGGATAGAGATGTGGCTCAGTGGTTAAGTTCCTCTGGGTTTAATCCCCTGTACAAAAATTTTTTAAAGAGTAAAGACTAAAATTTAGGTAGACAATAATGCTACTTCCCAGTACCTCTAAAAACTGTCTCGTATTACTTTGGCTATTGAATTCTAAGACATCTTTGTATTAGGAAGTGTTCAGTTATAAGTTGATAAAAGGAGTTTGTAACACTGTCTCTTCTTTTAGGTATTCAGCGGAATCACACTTACAAAATTTGGAGGAATTGTGGTGTTGGCCTTTGCCAAATCCCAGATTTTCCAGATATTTTACTTCAGGATGTATTTAGCTATGGTCTTACTGGGAGCCACTCATGGACTAATATTTCTCCCTGTCTTACTTAGTTATATAGGTAAGCACTGTTGTATAGTATTTGAACTTGTACTATGGTTGGTCATCTGATAGATATTACTAAGTAGAAATTCTTTTTAAAGGAAAAAAGTCCTGTCCAGGGATTTCAGGAATATCCAAACTATTTCATTAGTAAATTGTGAACATTTTTTTTTTTTATTTGCTTAACAAAAGCTAAAGTCTGATCTTTGAATGAATTTGCATGATAGCAGGCCAGGATGCCTTCCCACTACTGAGGAATGAGCCCCAGCAGTTAAAACAGTTGTTCATTCCCCTGTGATGAAGGTTTTTAACAAAAAGCCTTGACCTCCACTACTCCTTTATGATTGTTTACTTCTGTGGCTACTATATCTTGTACAAATGTCCCCTGGTTGAAAGGACAACATTATTATTTGCCTTATACCTTTGTAACTGAGGGACTTCTCTCTATCCCTAGGGGACAGACTATCACAATCCAGTATAAACTGTTTCCTTTTCTCCTGAAGAAATAACAAATATTATTTCTCTCTTTCATAGGCCCATCAGTAAATAAAGCCAAAAGTCGCACCACCCAAGAACGGTACAAAGGCACAGAGCGAGAACGACTCCTAAATTTCTAGCCTTCTTCAAGGGTTTGTGACTTTGAACTGTGTCAAGGGGTTGGTCCGTTTACCACTGGACAGTAACTGCATCTAACTGCATCTTCAAGACTGAGCTGAACACCCGATGTTCCAGGCCTGGGGCTGTTGAACAGAGCTTCGGATGTCCTGCTTTTAAACTCAGGAATGCGCATGTGACTTGTGAAGCAGTATTATGAAATCTGAAGGGACTTTTGGGACACTAAAGCCTCCCCCACCCCCCCCACCCTAGTCCTTCAGGAAAGAAACCTCATGTTTGACAAGAAGAATGACACGAAGGGTAACTGTGCATGTGATCTGCTCATGGACTCTGAAGGCCAATCTACACACTGGCTCCTTTTTTGGGGAGTAAGCCATCATACACATTCTATACGATATTTTTAGTAACATTTGAGGATATTGTAGATATACTTTATTATGAAATTTTGTAGTTTAAAGAGCTTTATTAATGCAATAAATTAACTTTGTACACATTTTTATATATATATATATATATATATATAAAAAAAAAAAAAAGCCTAGAATGTTGTAGGCCTCATTAGAGCTTGGTCTCCAAAAACCTGTTTGAAAAAAGCAACATGTTCTTCACAGTGTTCTCCTATGAAGGAAAATAGAGATTTAATCACCATTAGGTGTGGCAGGAAAGGAAAACAAGAGAATGTAGCTCACAGATTGTATACTGGGTTTTAACTTATTTTTCTTTAATAAAATACCTGTTTTCCTAACTTTTGGGGTTGCCCTTTCTACTACAGAACTAGTACCTTCATAATTCCTAGCAAGTCACCATGTGCTCAGATGAGCAGAAAAACTAAATGGAAGTGATTTGCACCCATTGTTGGGGTCAGTACCATCTTGCACTGGATGCTAAGAGAAAAGGTTGGCAGACCTAAATTGGAGTCCGTCCTAAGAAGAAATGTCTTAGATTTTATCACTATTTGGAGATGAGTTATTAGCCAGTGTTTCAAGGCTTACTAAAAGAATGCTTCCATTTTAGGCAAGAATCGTTTAAAACCCTTAGGCCACCGTTTGCTCTCTTATTCCTGAATGTCTCAACCCAAAACACCTCTGCTGTGAGTTCCAAAGTGTAATTAATTCACATTAATTACACCCATGTGATGAATCCACAGTTTAGACCACAGGCTAGGTTAGGTGTTGTTAGGAACTTTCATTTCCAGAAAAGCTAACATAGGAATCCTCCTTACACAAAAGCTGCCCACCCACATCGGGTTCCTGCTACTACATGAGTCTGTGGTTACCCCAGGTTTTCCTCTAGCAAGTATACTCACCTGGTGTGAAATTAGGGTTCCCTCGCAAACGCTGGTTTCGCTGTTCAAAAAACCGAAATATAGTATAGAAAAGCATGTTGTCTTCCGTCTGCTTTGCAGCATCTAAAAATTTCCGTGCAGATATGTTGTCATGGCCACCAATGCCCCGGATAAACCTCAAGGCAGCTAATACCTGGTGTTTAGACAGAAGAACTTCTACTATCTCGTCATTGGCTGTTGAAAGTCTCTGGAAGGGAGACAGAAGTGCAGATCAAAGCAAGTGACAAAAACACTTGTGCTGTCTGAAGCTGTGACAGACCTGCATTACCTTCAGCATATCCAGAGACAGCTGATGAGCAGGAGGGTAAAAACTCTCGAGGGACAGCAGCAGACAAGCCTGCAAGACAGTTTCAGACGAGCTTCAGTTGGAAGGTTAACATTTTAAGCTTTTAATCACAACAAGAATAAAAATCTGGTGATACACACCAAAGGTTTGGAGTCGCTGAGCACATGGTACTGCAGGAACTGGTGCAGCATGTAAAAGCGGTTGTGCTGGACAAGCGTCTTGATGACAAGTTCATGTAAGTAATGCTGGGAACAAAACAGGAAGACATTTCCAGTGGCTCAACTATGACAGACAGGGCGCTGCCTGAGGACTGCAGGCAGCTACTGACTTGGGCAAATGTTTCAGTTATAACAAGAAATGGTTTCAACCCAACTTGACATTATACTTTCATTCCAACTGAACAATGGGGGATGTTCAAGTCACTCAAAGTTCTGTGTCAGGTATGCAGACCCTTCTAGTGAGTAAAATTGTCATCTAAGACTGAAAGTGCTTTTATTTAACTCCTGTTAGGATGACAAATGCCAATAAAGTTACCTGTACTGTAATCTGAAACTGGTTAAGAGAGCGAATATATTCCATCAGCACAGCTATCACAAATTTATGTGGCATCTCCTACAGAGAGAAGAGTGGTTTTTTAAGCAGCAGAATTAACAAAAGAAACTACATATAACTCCTTTATCCTACCCTGTACTTGTGCCCAGAGTAAAATGGCCCAGTTTGGTTTTGCACTGATCTCAGAACCACATGAAGGGCAATTCCATGAGTTCTGATATTAGAAACCAAAGTACCAGCAAAGGCCATCACCCAGCTAGCCTAGTCAGAGTGTGATTTCTACTACTTCCCCACAACAACCCATTTGGAGAATTCTTGGTCCCAAAAAGGCTGAAAAGCTGTAGCACCTTATTTTCGGCGAATGCTGACAGCACGTGGGTGTACATGTCAGACTGGTCCACCACAGCCTGGGTCCGGGTGGGTCTTTTGAGAGGCGGGTTGCTCCGGCTCTGCCCTGCTTCTACTGCCTAAAGTGATAAATCACAGGTGTTGATCTTATTAGCTGTCTTCTAGAGAAATGGTACCAATTACAGTTAATCCCAAAAGACTGAATTCCATGATGGAAATCTAAGACAAAACAGAGGACAATTTCACTATTTAGAAAAACTTCCTGTGCCAACTTGGGATGGTGGCAGGTCAGAGTTGATCATTTCGGAAATACTCAGGGTGGATCCATGGTAGGTGGAACTACATAAGCCTAAGTCACACTTTTCTCTTCAGATACATCATACTTTTTTAATCTCTGAAAACTTTCAACCTCCTTAATATTCTTAATCCTGAACTATGGCATTTGTTAACTAATAAAAACAAAATGGCTAGCTTGTTTTATGAAGCTCTGACTGACAATAAAGGTTGCAATGAGAATATTGGGATCTTTTTTTTAAACTTTTTGTTTTGTTGTGATGCTAGGGATGGAACCCAGGACCTCATGCATGTTAGGCAAGTGCTCTGCCACTGAGCTACACCCCTAGCCCAGTATATCAGATTTTTTAAAATATTTTTTTAGTTGTAGTTGACACAATATCTTTATTTTTAATGTGGTGCTGAGGATCGAACCCAGCGCCTCGCACATGCTAGGCAAGCACTCTGCCACTGAGCCACAACCCCAGCGCAGTATATCAGGATTTTTAATGGGAAGCCCCAGCTCCCCAAATATGACTAAGATGGGAGAGACCATGCTGTGAGAAGACCTTGACTATTTTGCCTCATGTTTCAACGAAGTATAGACTCATGCATGTTCTGCAGTAGCTGTGGGTACAGCCTGAGACCCCACATTTCTGTAGCTCCAGGTGCTTGCCATCTCCAGTGAGTGGGCTGCACCCACAAATGCTGAGTCTGTGAAACCTGGTGGCCATGTAGGGAAGCCCAGAACTGCCATCTGGGGGCAGACCTTCTGACTGCCACAGCCCAAGACACCAACAGCAGAGGGGTCTGGGAAAGCTCAGCCATCCCTCGTGGCTGACAGGATGGGGCAGAGAGGTGATCCAGGCAGCCCGCCTCCTTTAGCAGCCTGCTTCAGACCTGCTGCCCTTGAAGAGCTAAAGGGGAGTTCTGTGCGTGTTGTTTAAAACCACTTCCAGCATTAGGACTAATCAGGTACTTGATGTGAAATAATTACTCCTGCTTGTCCTAAACTTTTCTTTCTTGCTTCAGAAAACATGATGCACCAATAGTACAGTACCTGGTCATAAGCCATGTTGATTATTTCTAGCCCCTCACTACAAACTGAAAAGCATCAGTCTGCTCAGGATACTGATGGAATTCTAGGATAAATCTTATTTTTGTACTTATTACATCCTAAAGCAAAAGGAAGAGGTGTGATAAATAATGGAAACTGCATTTCTAATTGCTAAGTCCAAGCTCTAGCAATGTATAAACAAACACAAAGCTGAGACTGATTTTCGTCTCCACAAAACAGAGGTAGAACAAGGGCCTGTTTATGTGTAAGATCAAAACATTGGTTAAAAAGCAAGGCAAAGGGCTGAGGCTGTAGCTCAGTAACAAAGTGCTTGCCTAGCATGTGTGAGGCACTGGGTTCAATCCTCAGCACCACATAAAAATTAACAAATAAAATAAAGGCATTCTGTCCATCTACAACTACTAAAAAAAATTTAAAAAAAAAAAAGCAAGGCAAAAATGAGATGGCACACTGCATGTGCTATTGCCACCCTGCCCTCTGCACACATCAAACCTCAGTGACTTTATGCTATCAGAATCTTGCATTTTAATGGCTGAGGAATTAGGGGGTTGGATTCGAGGTCTCACTCAAAAGCTCCTGTGTCTGCAGGAATACTCAATAAAATGATTAGATTGTGAAACAGCCATCTATAGACTGAGACCTCTGAAACCATGAGCCCCAAATAAACTTTCCCTTCTCTAAAATCGTTCCTGTCAGGTGTTTTGGTCACAGCAATGAAAACGCTGACTAAAACAGGGCTTGGTTATAAAGTATCTAACTTACCATCACGTAACTCTGCTCAGCGTCCAGGTACTTTTTATACTCATGGTTGAGTTTATCAAACACAGTGGCTATCACAGGCAGTGTGGCTCTGTCTGACTCACTCAACACTGGAAAGAATACAATACAAAATCAAACCAACTATGTAATCTTTGGAATTTCAGCGTTTTGCTGATGGCTCTTAATCTCAAAAGGTTGCTGATAACATTGTTTTAAAGGGCATTCAAAGAAATGTTACATATATTTTTTAAATATTTATTTTTAGTTGTAGATGGACACAATATCTTTATTTTTATGAGGTGCTGAGGATTGAACCCAGGGCCTCACTCGTGCTAGGCAAGCATTCTACCACTGAGGCACAACCTCAGCCCAAAGAAATGTTATATTTTATAGAACCAGCAACTGAAAAATCTCCTAAAAAATAGCTAAGGCAAGATACTAGAAGATGATTTGGGGTTTGGGGTATTTTTTTTTTTAAAGCTTTGAAATAGGGTTTCACTATGTTTTCCAGGCTGATCTCAAATTCATGGGCTCTTCTGCCTTAGCCTCTCAAATACTGGAACCACAGGTGTGCACCACCACACCTGGCTCAGGACATTCTTCAAGCATCAACATCTGCAGTTTATGACTCGGATTCTGGAAGATATTTGTTTTGACACTAGAGGTACAGGGCCCACTCCATTGTGTATGCTCATTTTCAAGTCTGCTTTCATCTGGAACTATCAATTTTCTAGTCTTTTCTACTGAATTCTCTACAAACCATATTTATTTCTCAGCCTTTCCAAGCCATCTTTCAATTAAAACATAAGCCATCATAAGCCATCTTTCAATTAAAAAACAAGTCTACAGGTTGTAGACCTTGTGTTACCCCCCCATAACGGGGAGGGTGGTGGCAGCACAAGCCTACTATGGGAACAAGACAGACTAACAGAGGAGGATTCTTTAGCTTACTCTGTGAACAGACAGACAGGATGACCATCTTGCACTCCTTCCTCTGGAGAAGAAAGTCCATTAATCTTCCTTTATCTGGCAAGAGATTTACTATGGGCTGGAGTTTCACCTGAAGATTCCAGAGGTAACCTGGATTTTAAGAGGCAGCAAATTTAATGATATAGTACAAATCAGAACAAAAGTCCAACAAGTGGTAATCCTAAACACTCATGGAAAAAACACAAATATTGTTAATGGTCCTTTCTTTCTAACCAAAGTCAGGACACTAAGGAACACATCTGACAACAGAAGGACAGGTTATCAAACTTTCTGCGTGCCTAGCTGATCCCCTGAGAGCAAGTTCTACATTTGGAAGCATGTCAGTGGTGTATGTCCCTAAATATGGAGGACAGCAGGTCCTTAACTCCAAATAGGACCACAGTACCTAGCCCCTTTAAATGTTTCACATAGAAAAAGATGTTAACATATAGCATCAACATCAGCCCAAACTTGGGTCACTCTGCAAGCTCTCAGTGGGATTTCATAACTCACTTATCAACCCTGATGTGTACTGAACGCCCCCCCTCCCCCCGCACTGTGGGCAGACAGGCCAGTGCAGTCTTTCTCAATTGAAGTTCCACAGGAGAACAAAGCACTCATCAAAAATGACCAGAATGTGGGCTGGGATTGTGGATCAGAGGAAGAGCGTTCATCTCGCATTAGTGAGGCACTGGGTTCGATCCTCAGCACCACATAAAAATAAAATAAAAGATATTGTGTCCACCTATAACTAAAAAAAAAAATATTAAAAAAAAAATGACCAGAGTGGGCTGGGGTTGTAGCTCAGTTCTCATGCATGAGGCCCTGGGTTTGATCCTCAGCACCACATAAAAATAAAGATATAAAAATAAAATAAAGATATTGTGTCCATCTACAACTAAAAAAAGTTTTTTTAATTTTTTTTTTTTAAATGACCAGAATGGCCACTTTCTCAACTGTCTCTAGGCAGAACAAAGCTAGTGCGATTATAGATGCCCAGGAGAAGCAAGTTCATGATACACAGGATGCACACAGCATCGAGGCTTTCTCCTTGAGAATCTCAGAAGACAGGAAATACACAAGTGACTCAAGACTAATATAGAAAGTTCTCTAAGGGAAAAAGACACAATATGATAACCCAGGAAGAGACAAGAAACCAGCTGAGGGAAGCTTCACCAGCAAGGTGAGGAAGGGGAATGGGCTTCTAGGCACACGTGGAATGTTGGTGGGGGACGAGAATGGAGACCCCATGCCATGGTGTCTGGCTTTTCAAAAGGGACTTATAGCAGGTGCCTGCTGCTTTAGTTGTCGCTTTAATTATTAAAAATAACATGGCTTGGGACAAAATGAATGCAGAGCAGAGAGCCAAGAATAAGCTAAAAACAACCCCATTCCCAAGGTTGAAGGAAAAGGTCATCTCTCAAAGATTCATGTCAAAAATGTCACAGGCTACAACTCTGAGGTTAAGTCAACGAGCACTATTTTCTTACATGATGATTGTCCTTGACTCTCCCCTGAAACATACCTTGGCTTGCACTGATAATGATGTCAGGTTGAAAGACAATCCAGGATGAAGAATCTACACATTATAGGAAATTCTAAATCAGGAAGAAATGTAAACAAAGGGGAAGCCCAGGTTCAGTTAGCACTGGCCCACCTCCATGTGCTAATCTCACTCTACGTAAGCCCCAAATGCTTAGGAAAGATGGCAGGGCTTTAACCACAGGCGCCTTGGGGCGGGTGGCAGGGATACTCCAGGACCAGCTGTAAAGAAGAGGCAACCACTGCCCCCTCTGGGCAGTGCCAAGGCCTTTGTAAAGGATACAGAGTTTACAGGGAACAGGAGACTGGCTGGTCACAGCAGCAGGACCTACAAATTGAGAAAACAGAGTGATGAAGCAGTCAGAAAATGCTGCAAACACTGTACTTAAGATGCAAAAGGTGACACTTTTTAAGGCCCTCAGTAAATGCTCACTTGACTGTAGGAAAAGCACTGTCCTGTCTCACTGGTAACACATAGGGAAGAAGAGGGAAGGAGTCGAGAACAATCCATGAAAATGTCTCCTCGGCAGACATGATGGCACATGCCTATAATCCCAGCAGCCTAGGAGGGTGAGACAGGAGGATCATAAGTTCAAGACCAGCCTCAGCAACTTAGCAAGGTCCTAAGCAACTTAGTGAGACCCTGTCTCAAAAAAGGGGGGCGGGAGTGGACACTGATGTGGCTCAGTGGTAAAGTGCCCCTGGGTTAAATCTCCAACACCAAATAGAAAGGGAGGAAGGGAGGAGGGAGAAAGGAAAAGAAAGAAAGAACAAAGGAAAGAGAAAGAAAAGGTCTCCTCAAGGAGGAAAAACCATGACAAGGCTTCATTCACAGTGGTTTAATGACCAAAGATGTCACCATGCATACATACACATTAAAGAACCGAGAAACTAA